CAGTTGGGACCAATCTCACAATGTCTGAGAGACATTACAGTGGCTGGTGTCACTGGAGCTCAGTGCAAAAGGGAGAAAGTGATGGGAAATATGACCAAATAGGCAACAAGGGATCTCATGGTATAGGACCATCTCTCGAGACGATGCTGCGTTGGTGGTTTGGTGTAGACAAGTGACTTGGTCACCTAGGATACTGTGAGAAGACAAATAATTAGATTCTGGAAATGTTTCGAAGGTAGGGTTTGATAATGAACTTCATGTGGTATATACAAGAAGGAAGAGTCAGGGAGATGCTAGGGTTTGGGCCTAATAAAATGGAGCTTCTATTTGGGGGATGGCAAAGAATGTGGGACAGGCAGTGAAATGAACAGAAAATTAAAAAAGAGTGTGGAGAGTGGGTCTAAAGGCAAGTGAAGTTTTGCAAGTAGCAAAGATGGGTCAATGTGTGATACACTAATGAGGCAGCTGATATCTCTTCTGGCTGTATCTGCGGCAACAGTTGCTACGTGCCTCCCAAACTTACTATCATTGGTGGGCTTTTCTGCCATGTCAGATACTTCCAAGTGTTAAGGACAGTTCTATCTGACCTCAAAACATAAATGTTTCTCTATGTTCTATCTTCAGTTCCCCGTTTCTCAGCGCCCCACTATATAACAGACAACTGAACTCTTGGTCCACCCATATCAGGAGACAGAACAAACCACTCAAGGCTGCATTCAAAAGTCTCCTCTCTACCACTTCCTGTGAAGCTCCTGGAGTAAGTCTGTGAGAGCAAACCAGCTTCCTCTATTTAGAGGGGTGCTTCTCCACCTCAAGTGCAGCTTGGGGTTGAGGATCCATCTCATCTCTTTACATAGCACCCAGGGCTTCAAGCAACTCTGCCCCTTCATGACCATTAATAAACCCTGACATCCCATCCACACAGACAATCCTATGTGTTTCAAGGCACACAAAGGCCCTTGATCTAGAATTCACACTGCACTGTAGTTATGGATTATGCTTTACTCATTTTGTTGAGTAAGTAGATTTACTAAAATAGACGCATGTTATTCTCACCCAATTTTTACCGCTTATTTAATATCCTGATCTAATTATACTTTTTATGTAACTGTCAGTAATTAAAATTCTAGGTTTTAAATTTGCATTCTCTTCCATCGGTAGTTTTTGAAAAGGGGAAACACTGTCCACACTCAAATCCCAACATTTTGTTTCCTAGATGCATGATATTGGAGAAATTGCTTAATTGATCTCGGTTTCAATTTTCTCTTCTGAGAAATAGGGGACGCAACTCTTCTGAAAGTTAAATGAGATAAAGCACAGAAAGTTCTTAGCACACAGTAGAAGCAAAGTGAAGGAGCCTGCCTTAGGCTGGATCCATCAGGGAGAAAAATGTTGAATAAACTCTTTGACCGTAGCTCATATGCAATAATCATGTAAGCCAGTAACTAACTGTTGTTGGTTTTAAACCACTGAGATTTTGGAGTTTTTTGTTGTTGCGGCACAACCTAAGCCTTATTAGAACAGAAATTGATTCTGGAAGTAGGGCTTACTTCATATCTATACACACAGATGACATATCCTTTTTCTCTTTCAAGTCTTGTGGATGTTCCACTTGTTCTATTGTGCTTTAATTGCATATTGTTATGGTTGAAAACTTACAATTTACTTTTAACCCTAGCTATGTCTTCTGTGATTTGTCTCTTAATTATGTCTATTTTTTTCTGGCAGTGGGAAGTAAACTCGAGGCCCTGCACTGAGCTACATCCCCAGCTCATTTTATTGTTTATTTTGAGACACAATCTTGCTAAATTGTCCAGGCTGAGCTCAAACTTACAGTCCTCCTGCCTCAGCTTCCCAGAATGCTGGGATTACAGGTGTGTACCACCATGCCCAGTTTCTACTAATTAATTCTAAAATTAGAAAACTAATTAACATTTATCTTATCATTTTATATTTTTCAGATTGATATGAGTTGTATACTAGGATTAGTGTTTTTTTCTCTTTGGATCTAATGTCCTAGTGTAACATTCCAACTTAATTTTTTTTTTTGTTTTTTTTTTTTTTTGAGACAGGGTCTCACTATGTAGCTCAAGCCAGTCTTGAACTCACTGTGTAGCCAGAGTGGCCTCTCACTCCTGGTGATCTTCCTGCCTCAGCCTCCCGAGCTGTGGGATTAACAGACGTGTACCAGCATGCACAACCCAACTCAATATTTGTAGAATGATGTTTCAATAGATTCCTCCCCTTGATGGGAGGAAATGAAAGTCACATTACAGAGAATATAAAGAGGTAAAAAGTTTGTTGCAATCTGCAATCTAAGTATCTTTTACTTTTCTAAAAAGTCAGGAAAAGTACTCTCTTCATTGTAGTATTGCCCAGCTTGTTTTCTTTTTCTCTAATTAATGCTGATGCCATCGATTTGTTTCACTTCTCTTTCTATTACCACCTCCTCACACTTCAATGCACAGTATTTTAAAGCAGATTTTTCAAAATATATTTTTCATTTATAGCCAATGGATTGTGAAGTTTTGCTGATTATGCTCTATAAAGAAACATCGAAAAAAATCACATACTTAAGACTATCTTACAGCGGACTACCTTTGTAGGTTGGACATGGTTAGACTTGCTGTTACTTTTGATCTCAGAATAGCCACAGGCACATCGGTCCCCGCAGAATAGAGCATGTGATAATAATCTCAGCAGGTAGTTGGCAGTGCAGATGTCTAAGTGTGACGTGTTAGCCTGTGGACGAATGATGAAGACCTCCCAACTGCAAAACAATGATCATGTAGCTCTGCTGACCTTCTTTAACAAGATCTGGATTAACTACCATGCCAATAAGATGCCTTGGTGGCTTTCAGCTAATAAAGACACATTCACCCCCTCCTGGGATGTAATCAGATAGCATTTTTTTCTTATCAAACAACTCAAGGATATTTGAGATTTGCTTTAATATCTCTGTGGATGAACAAAAGTGATTAATTTCATAGACCCTGACGTATCCCCATTTGATTCAAAAAAAATAATGTCTAGCTTTTTCTGTGAGCATGGCTGGGATAGTGATTTTTAATATGATGTAACTGGCAATTGCATAACTGAAAGAATAAGCAATATTCAGCAATCAAGTGATCTAAGGTAATAGTAAACTTGTGATTGCTTGATATTCTAGTATAATTTTAAGGTTTATGAAGACATTTTGAATTTGACATTTTTATATAAATCAGGTTTTCTGTCTTTGTAGCAGTCTCCTCTGAAGGGTAGAGTTTCAGAATATAATATGTTGGGCTTTTTTCTAAAGACAGACAAGCACGATCTCTGTACAATTTGATCTCACGGTTGTTTCTGCTTATGTACTGTACTGTCTTTCCAAATACTTTCTTTTATCCACAGAGCAGTGTAATTATGTATTTAATTTCTTCTTATAAAGTATCATAATTCTTTCAAAACTGTCAATCTATTGATTATAACTATTACCTGGAATATTCAGTTGCTTAGGCTGTGTCATTCTCCAACAGCCACCATAAAATAAATTTGAAAGAATTTCAGGCTGATTAATAGATCTTTTCACATTTTAGAAGTCTGTAGTGATCAGACTTCCCAGCCTCTGTCAACAGTTTGAATTTTGCTCAAAAACATTTATAGTTGAGAAATTCTGTCCTCTTATAATTTGGCTTCTTCTTTATAAGTTTTATCATACATGTACATACACCCAGACACACAAAATGAAAACAGTAACTAGCTATTTTCTGAACAACAGAGATGGCTAATAAATTTTTTTTTTTTTTGGCACCGGCAATCGAACTCAGGACCTTGCGCTTGCCATGTAGGCACTTGTGCCACTGAGCTATATCCCCAGTCCGATGGCTGATAAATTATATAGATATATGTAAGTATGAAATTTCATTTGAGTCACTGGAGCTTTCTTTTCTCCAAACACAATAATCCCATTACTTGTCAGGTTTATCTTAAAAGTCAAAATTAGCATGACTCAGGACATTTAGTGTTTGAAAAGTAAGATATCCAGAACTTGATTTATGCCACCGCTATTACCTAGATGCTTTTAGTGGCTAATTTGTACCTAGCATAAAACTGAGAATATTTGTGCTTACCTATACCCTGTCTAATATGCCAGTATAAAGAACGTGGATGTTGTTAGAAAAAATTTAGAGTCAATGTTCACATAGTCGCCACTAGTTGTTGGATCTCTGCTTATTATTTATCTTCTCTCAGACTCATGTTTTCTTATTAACAAAATTTGATCAAGTGGCTACATTTGCAGTACTGCTGAGGGATTAACTTCAGGAAGTGTATGTGCAATGTTTAGCATAGTGGTTGGGTGTCCACTAAATGTTTGCTATCTTCATTACTGTCATTTGTCTTCGGTAATATCCTTTCCCTTCTTGGCAGGACATGTTGACTTTCACAAGAGCATGTATCCATAGCCTTATGCATTTCCTAGATAATGATTAGGAAATTCCTAGATAACTGGCTGACTTATTTTATTTTATTTTATTTTATTTTTATTTTATTTTGAGACAGGGTCTCACTTTGTAACCCAGAGTGGCTTCAAACTCACAGAGATCCTCCTGCCTCAGCCTCCTGAGTGCTGGGATTACAGACCTGCATCACAGTACCCAGTTGGCTGACTGTTTTAGAACAACAGCCAGTATAGAACTATGAGAACACATGCTCATTATCTGACCTGATTTAATTATGAAGTTAGAACATGAAAGATCAGTGGAAATGGAAAAAGCAGTCATACTGGGCCTTCCATGTGTTCAAAGTTTTATGCATGGCATGAAGTGATACTCCCTTATTCCAGTGCTATGAGGATCATTAAGGCGCTGGCACAGAATTTAGTCCCCTGTTTTCCCTTCCCAGTCTAGAAACCGTGCAGCGTTGTCATCTACAGAACAGGGAATTCCATCCCTAGTAGGGCAAAGGAAAATCTTTGCTAGCTGAATTCACCCATTAGTACCAAAAACAATAACACGCAGACATTGTGAGTGCCCATTTCTTTTAATGTTTAAATGCAATTTTAAAAGTTCTTACTAGGAATTACCTCCCAGAGGCCCCCCCCCATAAACTATGCGCATTCAAAGTCTGCAAGTATTTAAATTTTATAAACACAATATTGCAAAAGCAGGGAAACTAAGAAAAGCCTTAGTAGCCTTGAGATTTCAAAGAAATGCTTCATTACTCTTTCCTAAAGTACCTGTTTCCTAAATGCTAAATACGAAACTCTAAAAAAGCTGTGCTGGCAACGGCTGATCACTGGTGGCTAGAAAATGGGGAAAACAAAGAAGGAAGCTCGCGTAAGGACAAGCGCTTTTTGACAGATTTTTTCATCTCATGACCAGCTGTGTTGGCAGCTGCTTTGCTGTCAAATGTATACAATGCTGGAGCAACATTCAAGTGGTAACTTTCCCGCACATTTCTGAGAGGTGACATTGACACACCCTGGAGGGTTTTATTTGTGAGAGCTGATCCTCAGTGCTTTGAGGGTCCTGGGAAATCAAAGGAACAATAGAACTGCAAGAAACGACCGAGTTCTCAGTTTATGCTGGTCCCCTGAATATGCCCATTTTAGAGCCAAAATTTGTGACCAGAATATAAAAGACTCAATACTATATGTAATCAAAATATGATAAATCTGTGGACTCCTTCTTCAGCTACCTCCATTACATACAAAACTAAGAAGTCTGGGAGAGGAAATAACCAATGTGAGACAACCCCCAACCTTTCCCTTCTGTGGTGTGCGTTCTCTCCCTCTCCGCCTGGTTTCTTCCTCTCCTTCCTTCCCTTTCCTTGATAAATCTTCTGCTTTTCTGCCTGCTGTCTTTCTTCCTCATTACCAAAGCTGAGTAGTGTCTGTGGGCCCTGGGGGGTGGGGCAGATAAAGCTGGTTTTTAGTTCCCAGAAATGGGAGTAGTTATTTAAAAAAGGAAAAAGAAGAAAAAAAGAACTGCTTCTGGCCACACTAACTGATTTAGACCTGTCTGGTACTCAGGGATATCCATAACATTCTACGGGGTGTAAATTCAATATCGACACAGTTAACTGAGGATTTCAGTTTCCAGGATGTATATTTCAGGAAGATGATGGCCATGGTGACGATAACATAATAATAAAAATAAACCGTTAGTCACACATTAAGATTCACTTTTGTATTTATAGAAAACAAGGGATGGGCTCTATATAAGCCAGATGTGCATTATCAGAAACATACTTGTCATAACTCTGAAGTTCCAAATTTGCAAGGACCGGGTGGAGGAGACTTTCTGGCAGTAAACCAGCGTACTTTCTTTCACAGATTGGGGAGCAGGACTAGAGGAGTCAGCCAGATGTATGGCAGGGGATTAGTTTCCTACCTTAATCCCTCATTCCTCCATGCCTCAAATAAGAACGTGAGAAACCCTGTAGGCCATCATACTGGTTGATACTCTTAGCCTATTCTCTCCCCTCGCGAGAGTAAGGATTCTTTGCTCTGTAACAGTAAGAGAAGTCACTTCCTCAGATAATTCTGTATAATGTTTTAAATTAGTTCTATTCTGACCTTGTTTGGCTTTGAATTTTTTCATTCATTCATTCATTCAACAAATTGTCTTTGACTATCAGCTCTGTGCCAAGTACCATGGTAAACGTTCAATACTAAATAAGCTCAATCAGGGTAATATTTTTTGGTAGAAAGACTCTCTGATCCTGTCAGGCTGCTGTGCTGGCAAGCTGCATGTGCTGAGGTGTCAGTGCTGACCCTAGTAAGTGTTAAATCACCTTCAGCCTGTATTAGCTCCTATCTGGAAAATCTCCCTCAATATAACAATAACCAAGATGACACAAAGCGGAAAATGAGTAGCTACTTTTCGGTTTACATCTTTTGGGGAATGTGAAAGCTGATTTTCAGAATAGATTGCTGTGGAAGGAATACCAAGCCTGTATTCAGGTGGCCAAGATCTGGTCTCAGCTTCATAGTCTAAGGACGACTCTAAAGCTTTTTTGAGCACTTGAAGCCACCATTGTCTTTTTGTTTTGTTTTGTTTTTTTGTTTTGTTTTTCTCCGGTACCGGGAACCGAACTCACGACCTTGCACTTGCCAGGCAGGCGCTTTTGCCGCTGAGCTAAATCCCCAGCCCCAAAGCCACCATTGTCTTGTCCTAAAAAATGACCCCAGAAATCCTTGTGCTACTTTTCCCTGGCACCACAGAGATGAAAACTGAAATAATGCTTGTAGAAGTGCTCTGAAAAACATAAAGCCCCATATAAACATCATTTGCAAACCATCTTTCAAGAGAAATGTTACAGTATAGTTTCTTTTCCTCCTTTTTTTTCTTTTCCTTTCTTTTTTCTTTTTATCAGCCAGTCATATTTGGGCACTTGGTAGCATCATCCAGTGTTTCCTTGTGGGAGAGATGAGTTAGAAGTTTTCCTTGTTGAAAATGAAATGTACTCCCCGAGGGCCAGAGTCGGAGTTGGAGATGCTCTGTTTATTGAGAGTGTCAGCCAAGGCTTCAGGGCCACAGAGGAAAACTCCTATTCTGGTACTTTTGGAAAAGAAAAGAACAAGATTTTCAGGCTTTGGATTGAGACAGACTCCTGAGCAGGTAGGGGACGTTCCCACTGACCTGAGGCCCTGGGGCCCAGTACCCTCTATTCCCTTGCCTTTTCCACAAATGGAAAAAGAGTTTAGATTACTTTGCAAGGAGGTGGTCAGCCCTGATCATGGAAGAGCTGCAGAATTTAAAAGACAGTTAAGGTTCCCTGGAAAATTAAATCCAAACAGGGTTTTAGGAAACTTCTACCACAGAAAAGTATTGAGTAGAAGTCTGTAGGGCTAATTCTCCTCTGGGCTCTGTGTCTCCAAACGCTTTCTGGCATCTTGAAGTCAAGAGCAAAGCCTCCTCCATTATCCTAACTCTGGCAACAGCTTGGTGTGGCTTTGTCCCTCTAAATCTTAGAGTTTAAATCCTTGCTCTTCAAGGTGCAACTCTAGACTGCTAGTCTACATGTTAGTTTTTTAAGAATGCAGATTCTTGGGCTCAACTCCACATCTACAAAGTCAGCACCTGCATTTTAAAAGTACAATCAGGTGATATGTGTGCTCACTGAAGTTTGAGAAACAGTGATCTGAAGCTCATATGTATGGTGAGTCCTGGAGTGTCTCATGAGTTCTAGCAAGATATGGGATCACTCAAGCCTTCCCGATGGCTGAAGTTTCAGTGGAATGGAAAGGATTTAGGGATATCTATGAACTCATGGTTTTAGACTCGAAAGCTAAAACCGAAACTGAGGCCAGCGACTCCTTACTATTAAGTATATATCATATTGAATTATTATTTTATTTTATTTTTTTTTTGGTACCTGGAATCAAACTCAGGACCTTGCACTTGCCAGGCAGGCCCTTATGCCACTGAGCTATATCCCACTATATGCCACTGAGCTATATCTATTATATTGAATATTTAAAAGAAATAGATACACTAGTAAAATTTAGGCAACTAAAGAAAAGAATCAAGGTGTGGTTCAGCTTGCAACAAAGGATTGGGAAGTCTGAGGTGGGAACCTGAGAATTTCAGTTTTTAATAATTCTTCAGATAATTTTGCTGTGATTTAAAGATTTTCTCTTAAAGTCAGAGCTATCTGAAATCTTCTGTTGAACATGAATTCAATTCAATTATAGCAATGTGGGTATCTTAGTTTCTGGAATTTCTGCGTCTAGCCTTACTTGGAAGCTGATGCTTCAGGTAAACCGTAGCCTCAAAAATCCCTTAGTTGGCAAAGGAGGTTACTGCTTACTTGGGGTGTTGACTTGCAATTGTCTTGAACTCATTATCCCAGTTGGGTCGTCCATACAAAGTCTTCTGTTTCAGGCCTGTGATCACATCTTTCTCCTCGTCATGGTGAACAGCAAAGTGATTGGCCTGCAGCAAAGATACGAGTTCAGAAATAGAGACGTTGTATAAAATATGGACAGATGTATTTATACATTTAACAAAGCAAGCTCATAACTGCCATTTCGAACCATATATATATGAATATGATAAACAAACTTTCCCTAAAGCAATTTCTACTCTGGAAGAGGACACTTTGAAAAATAAATAGAAACAATTGTATTTGTAAAGTAGGTTATGATGAGTGCCATGGAAGAGACCCAAACACCCTAATGGAAACAAAGAAGGCGGAAGAGGTAGAAAAGAGAGAGTTTGAGGTCACAGTATCTGAGTCAGGCACTGCAGTGCGGGCAGTGTCTCACTGTTTTTCTCTCCGCTCTACCTTTCTCTCCTCTTATGCTCCCACCCACTCTTTTGAGAGAATCAATGAGAACTGAAATAATCATAGACTAAAATACATCCATATTTTGGTAACTCAAGGCATCAAATGAAACCTAAAGTTGTGTGTGTGTGTATACATGCTGTTTTTCTGTTACCATTCTAGGGGGCTGCAGCTTGAACAACAGGTACTTTTCAAAAAAGAGATTAATTAAATGTGTTTTATTTTATTTTATTTTTTGGAGACAGGGTCTCTTTCTGTAGTTCAAGCTGGCCTTGAACGCACTTATGTAGCCCAGCCTGGCCTCAAAGTCATGGCGATCCTCCTGTCTCAGCCCCTGGAGTGCTAGGATTACAGGCATGGGCCACCACACTTGGCTAACTAAATGTATCTTAAAACAAATCAGGTTTAAAATTTACTAGACAGGGCATGGGGGATGGGGATGGAGGAGGCTGAGAAACATGATCACACTCGCTTAATAATCCCATAGGGAACAATTTTGCAAAGAAAAATAATTATGTTTAAAATAAGTTATTTTTTCAATGCGAATAAATTTCCCATTTAAAACTGTTTTCTCTTTGGAAATATCAAAACTGTAAGGTAATTTTTAAATTACAGATTTTTTTCTCTCAGTTTATTTCTTGCTTTCTTTGTGTGTGGTAGTGCGTATTAAACCCTGGAAGTGTTTAACTCCATTCCCAACACTTTGCGAAGTTTTATTTTGAAATAGGGTTTCACTCGTTTGTCCAACCTGATCTTGAACTATCAGGCCCTCTACCTTAGCCTCCTGAACTGGGATTACAGGTTTGTGCCACCATAGGTTTTATTTTTACCAAAGGGCTTTTATTGTTTTGTTTTTAAATTGCAGAAGTAGCTTTTTGAGATCATTTTTCATGGAGTAGCAGTTTTCGTGGTTATGTGCTCCTGGATCCACATCTGCTATAAGACTTCTAGGATTTCTATGATAGATAATAATGCCAAAACCCAAATGAGAAGCCATTCTTCATAATGACAGGTTTCAAAGTGAAAGATGCCCAGTGTTGAAGAGCCAATGTATGGGTATAATCCAGCAGCTGTGGTTTAAAGGAGTCCATTTCAAAGTCAGATGTTCTCAGTGTAACAGCATAAAGAAGGAGGGTCTGCCAAATATGGTGGTTCAGGCCTGTAATCCCAGCACTCAGGAGGCTGAGGCAGGAGGATCATCACAAGTTTGAAGTCAGCCTAGGCTATGTGGGGAATTCCAGGCCAGCTTGAACCACATAGTGAGGCTCTGTCTTAAAAAAAAGAAAACAAAAACAAAATACCAAGTAAGGCCTTTAAGAGGTGATTAGTTCATGAACACCCCTCCTTTGAGTATAGCAGTAAGGCCTTTATAAAAAAAGCTGCATGTGATATTCCAGGAGCTTGTCAAGTATAAGATTTTTACATTGTCAAATTACTCTGGTAGGGGCAGGAAGGTGGCAGGGATTGAGAGGAAACTGCATACATACATACATATATATCCCACCTTCTTTAGATACATATTGATGTGTTTCCCACAAATAATCATAAAGTACTGAGAGTTGCTAAGAGTGCAGGCTCACGGTGTTCTGACTCTGCCAATCACTTATTATGTGCCAGATGCCTTCAGGTAAATGACCTAATCTGTTCCGGGCCTTGGTTTCTTCATCAGAAAAATGTGGTTAATAATAGTAGGAAGCCAATAGGGTTGTTGAGAGTATGAAATTCAACAGTCTATGTGAGTACTGTGCACAACACATGCCACATAGTTCAGTTGTCTCTCATGATCTGCAGGGATTGGTTCCAGGACCTCTCCCTGAAGATAGAAAAATCCATGCATGCTCATGTTCCACCTATAAAATGGTACACTATTTGCATACAGCATTACACATCCTCCCATTTAATGTAAGAATCTGTACATTACTTATCCTGCCTAGGATAATGTAATTGCTATGTACCTTATTGTTATACTGCATTGTTTGGGGAAAATGACAAGAAAAACATCTGTACATGTTCAGTATAGACATATTTTTTTCCAAATACTTTTGACTTGTGATTGGTTGAATTCACAGATGCAGAATCCACAGGTATGGAGAGTTTACAATGTATGCTTAGTTACTATAAATGTATTGAATATATTATAAGATATGCATAAGCATACAATTAAAGAAACATACACACATTTTTTCCTCATTACCCTGTGGTGAATCTTGTCTATGTGGCATAGACTTCCTAGTGTGAGTATTGCCCTAATAATGTTGAAGTCATGGCCTTTATTCCCTCATAGGTTCCATAGCTTTGGATCTAGTCTCAAAAATGTCAACATGATGTTGTAATACTGAATAAATATGAATGAGCTGGGTCACTTGAATCCATTAACTGTCCTTCAAATAGGGCACAGGATCCACCTAGAACAAGGGAATGTCAGCATGTCCTGGACACTGTAGGAAAGACCTGAGACTTGGACTCATATCCTCACCTGAGACTCATCCCAGCCAGTGAGGTAGATGTTGTAGCTGAGGAAATTGGCATTGTTCCTTTCCTGCATCTGGGTCTCCAACAGCTGCAGCAGGTCTGCAAACCACTCAAAGGCATGTGTGTCCCGGCATAGCCAGTAGAAATAGATCTGCAAGGGGGATGGATCACAAAGCAGACTACCTTGGGACAGGATCTATCAGCGTTAACATATAGACTTCTATTTCCACCAGATTTTTATTTTCTTATCGTTAAGATGTCTAAAAACATTGTTTTTTTGAAACCTCTGGACATTTTACAGGCTAATTCATATAAACCTGCAATGACCTTCACACTTGAAGGGCACTAAACAAATACAGAGCCAACAAAGACTGTGCTGGCCCACAAACTTTTGCCCTGGGGCTACTCCTTCTCCCTCAGAATCTCTGCATTCCTTTCTATCTCCTCTCCGAAGGCCAAAGAAATCTAGACTAGCAGCAATGGCCGCAGGACTTCTTCTCAGTCCCCAGCCCGCTACCACCAGACACTCAAGAGTTCTTAGGGGAAAAAATCATTTCACCCACACCTCTTGCACATAGAAAAGAGATCAGAGGGAATGAAAATTCAAGGTAGACTCAGTGTCCCTATTAAAAATTACCTTTACAATTTCTGGAATGACTCAAGGGCTTTGAAGGTGTTCTCTATCAGGTAATTTACATGTGACACTCCCCTGGAAATTTATCCAGAGGAAACATAGAGATGAAAGTGAAAGCTTCACGCCTCTTTCCCTGCTCTTGAAAAACCACTGCTAAAGAGCTGAAAGTTGAACAGAAAATTATTCTATATTGTCTCAATGGAATACTAAGGAGTCATTAAAAGCATCATTATGAAGCATGTGACGACACTGAAAAACATTCTTTATGTTGAAAGAAAGGTTATGCAACTGTGCATAGTCAATATTTATAATTTTTTAGATATATGTTAAGCTTGTGGAAAAACATTAGAAAAGAAAGTCTAAGGGGCTGGGGGTGCAGCTCAGTAGTAGGCCACTTGCCTAACATGCACAAGGCCCTGAGTTCCATCCCTAAGACCATTAAAATAAAATAAAATACAAAGGGATAGCTTTGGGGTTGTGAATGCTATGTCTTTTTCCCAAACTTTCTTCTGAATTTCCAGTAACTCTATATTACTTTTACTCATAGGCCTGTTTATTTAGAAGCACATTTCACTTATCAAACGGTCCTTTGAAGAGAAGCTTGCCTCTCTGAACCACCTACAGCTTCTCTTCACTTCCCTGAAGTAGCCCTGATAGTACTTTTAGACTTCAGTTGGTAGACAGTGATGACCACTCCAAGTCCTACAAAATCTGAGAGAACTTACCTTTTTCAGCTTCAAATTGGTGGCATTATTGCAATATTTGTACCAGACTGATTTGAGAATGGATGCAAAAGGTGTGACTCCGATCCCTGCTCCCACCAACATCACCACCTCATAGCTGAACACATCTTCACTAGCTGTGCCAAAGGGGCCATCAACTGCTATCCTGGGTGGAAGTGAGAAGGAGACAGAGTTACAAAAATATCTTGCTCTTCGCAGTAAGATGGAACCTGTGTTATTGCTGGAGATGTGTAATGTGTGTCAATTGCAACTGGAATAATGTATCTATGAGGCAGTTTCTTCTGTGAAATGGATTTTAAATAATCAGTTTTGGGCCAACATTGGGATTGGAAGTAAGAAAAAGGGAATATTTTGGTACCTGAAAACATTTGGTAACATACCGCAGGTATTTTTCATCTCCCTCTCCTTAACCTTCTTCACACAACTCTCTCTCTCTCTCTTTCTCTCTCTCTCTCTCACACACACATACACATACACACACACACACACCCTACACTTTAAACTTTTACTAACATTGTATATTGAAGTGAGAATTTTCTACCTCATAGCATCTTGTAGATTTAGTATTCCCACCTTTCATTTATCTATTCATAGAACTATTCAATAGTTTTCTTAAGCATCTACTAATACCTGGTACCAAGTTAAGCATATATGAAGAAGGATGCTAAGCAAATAATATGTAACATTTACTCTCAAAAAATAATGCCAATTAAAATTTAAGAATATCTCTGTCAGAAAAGTAAATATAACTTAGCCTTGACCCTTACATATTTAAAGGAACTTGAGAGTATGCATTATTAATATTTGATCTAAGTGTTTTATATTTCACATCAGAGTCATAAAAATATGCACAAACATCCCCCAAGTCCAATAAGGATCACAGAGAAAGCTACCTATATTCTTACAACCTCTGTGTTTTGTGATTCAGGAGACAGTATAATGAGATGTGGAGGAAAAGGAGCTAATCAGTATCTTTTTTCTGAATGCATACACCTTTGTAATATGTGCTTTGTACTCACTTCGGTAGTTTCCAGGCATCTTGAAACTCCTGCTTATCACAGCCACAAGCATTGAATAGCCCTTCTGTCCAGTCTCCAACGATGCGGATATGGATGCTAAAGAAATCTTCCTCAGGGGCAGAAGTCAGTGTGAAAGGGTGCCACTCCAGCTTGGACACCTCGGGACACTTGACAAAAATGTACTGTCCCACTTCCATCTTGAACCCCTTTTTCTTCATCTGTAGCTCAATGGTTTTGAAGGGGTGAGTGACCACCTATGGAATAAGACATATTCTTAGGAAAGAACTTTTCCCCAAATATTTACCTTTTCAATGTCGATATGGATAAAAGGCTGTGCTAAGATGCCCCATCCAGGTCTCTATTTCAGGGCAATGTAGAAGGTCCTTCAGCAGATGTGCCTGTCACTGAAAATTGCCCTCAGTTTTAGTCCATGGCCAGTGGTAGGATGACAAAGGAATATAAAATCCTGGTATGCCTCTCTGTAGGATCAGCTGAGGCTGAAATTGCAACTACACTGTGGATCAGTATTAGGTTTTCTTTCTATCCAATTTTACTTTCCTCTTTTCTGTACAGGTTCAGCTCCTAAGAACATGTCCATATAAGCTTCCTGTCTCAGAGTCTGCCAGGGTATCCAGCCTAAGTTATCAACCTGTTTTGATTTTTTTCTCCCAGAAGCCAAGGAATGGCACAAAATAGGAAACAAATAGTTTCTTGTTTAGCCTTACTATCTCCACAGAGGATGAGATAAGGCCTTGGAAGATGGACAGAAGAAAGAGAGGCCATTATCTACTTATATAGCAACAGACCCTAAACTAAGCTAACTATTGTGTCTGTCCTTGTCCTGAATCATGACTAGAACCTGCCTGATTCCGTGTATTGTCTGTATATTTTTCCTCATTCATTTATCACTCTCCAGGACTGGTCCTATTTGCCTACCGATAACTTCATCATCCATATACACAAATGTTCATAGCAACTTTACTCAAAATGACATAATTATGGGAACATCCCATGCATCCATCAACTAGTAAGTGGCTAAGTACCTTTAAAAGGCTGGCTTTAACCCAGGTGTTGAGGCGCATGCCTGTAATTTCAGTACTCAAGAGACTGGGGCAAAAGGGTCAGTGCGAGTTTGAAGCCAGACTGAACTACATAGTGAGGACCTATTGTTCTTTTTTTTTTTTTTTTTTTTTTTTTTTACTATTCTCTTTAAAATAAATAAATAAAAAAAAAAACAAATAAATGGGCCAAGGATATAGCTCAGTGGCACAAGTCCCTTCCTGGCAAGCACAGGGCTCTGAGTTCAATTCCCAGTACCAAAAAAGAAAAGATAAGATAAAATAGAACATAATAAAGAGCAATACTGAGGGTAATGTACCATTTCTGTCACAGAGATATCTGTAATTTACATGTCCATCAACAGATGAATGAGTAAAGAAAATGTGGTACATATACACAATGGAATACTCTTCAGCAATAGCACGGTAAAATCCTGTCATTTATGAGAAAATGGATGAATTTGGAGGACATTGTTAAGTGAAATAAACAAAATGCACAGAAATACTGTATGATGACACTCGTATGTGGAATCTAAAACAGTTGATCTCATAGAAGTGGAGAGGAGAATGGCGACTACTAGAGGTTGAAGAAAGCAGGTTTAAGTGGGGATGATCAGTAAGTACTAAATTACACTGTCAGTAGGTACTAAATTACGGCTTGATAGGAGATAGGAGAAAAAACTTCTGGTGTTCTGCTGTATACAGTAGGGTGATTATTTTGTGGATAAAAACAATATATTTTATACTTAAAAATTGCTATAGGACTTTGAATGATCTCATCACAATGAAAGGATAGTTGGTTAAGGTGATCTTTACACAAAGCATGATGAATCAGACTCTACACCGTACCTTATAAATATGTAAAATTATATACTTATAAAAATAAAACTAAATTAAGAAGTTCTATACAGTTTCTTTGATGATTCCAACGATGTCTAGAAAAACTTGATGTAGAATTGAGAAAAAAAAAACTCAAGGGACAGCAAAAAAAAAGAAAGTAAAAGAAAAATCAGTAGAAACAAAATAGCAGGTTTTTAATGTTGGCTGATATTTCTGGGCTTTTCTTTTCAAGAATGGAAAGCTGTGGGAAGGTAGAAAATTGTTCTAATAAAAGTTGTTGGCCGGGGGTGGTAGCTCAGTGAAAAAGCACGTGCTTAGCATGGGAAAGCCGGCTTTTGATCTCTAGCACCACCTAAAAAGTATCAAATATATTTAATATCTGTGATATAAATGCATGTTACATAAGGCAGAAACCAACTTCCTCTATTCTCTGAAATAAGGAGTTATAAAGCAAGATTTCAAAAGTAGAAAATTATTTGGAAAATAGTTTAATTTGTTGCAAGTTTGTGTGATGAAAACAACTTTTCACCATTTTGTAATTTTATTACAAGCACAAATAGACTTTGATTAAATAAGAATTCCTAGTAGATAACATTCTTATTGGTATATTTCTGGGTAATATCTTGTTTTTGATATTTGTTTGTATGAATAAATGAATGAATACTTTCTTCACAAAAAGACAAATTTTCCCTATAAGTATGCTCAAGATAAGTATTTGCCTGGTTTAGTCATCTCTTATCTGGTAAAAGGGAATTTTAGGGTAGCTCATTTACTGATCTGTGGGGTTCTGTTATAATACAATTTAAACAGTATAAAATAAGTGTTGCCACTTCCTATATTGCAAGACTTCCAGCACCAACAAGACTAGCTTTAATATGACCCTACATAGATGTCAAATGAAAAAAAAGATAGGGTGGAGGGCAAGGAATTTTTGTCGTTAGTGAAAATAATCCATAATAGAGTTTTAGTAAACACTTTTTGAATTGTGTTGAACTGAATTAAATTTTACTAGATAAAAATTATTGCTTGGTGTTTTATGAAAATATGCCAAAAAATTCCCATTGATGTTTATTTAAATATTTGTGAAGCAAAAACAAAACAAAATAAAAACAATAACAATAACAAAGAAGAGGGGCTGGGGTTTAGCTCAGCGGCAAAGCACCTGCCTGGCAAGTGCAAGGTCGTGAGTTTGATTCCCGGTACCAGGAAAACAAAAACAAACAAACAAACAAACAAAATAACAAAGAAGAGAAAAATGGAGGAATGACCACTGCAGACTTAGGAGTTAAAAGATCAAATTTGAAACAAAACCCAAACTGCACAGGAAATACTTGAAAGTATCAACAACTGGGATCTCATCTTATTAAAAAGTTTTGCACATCAAAGGAAATCACTGACAGAGTGAAAAAACAACCCACACAGTGGGAAAAAAGTTTAGCCAATTGTCCCACAGACAAAGGACTTCTATCTAGAACATATAAAGAATTGAAAAAACTCAGATCCTCCCAAAATTCAAAGGCCCAATTCAAAAATGGGCATCTGAGATGAGTAAACAATATTCAGATGAAGAAATACAAATGGCAGATAAATACATGAAAAAATGTTCAACATCATAGGTCAATTGAGGAATGCAATTTAAAACAACACTGAGAGTCCATCTCACCCCAGATAGAATGGCTATCATCAAGAAATCAACCAATAGCAAATGCTGGATGAGCTATGGGGACAAAGGAACCATTCTCCACTGTTAGTGGGAGTGCAGACTGGTGTAGCAACTGTGGAAATCAGTAGGGAGATTCCTCAAAACCTGGGATTGGAGGTTCCATTCAAACCAGCTATTCCCCTTCTAGGTGTCTTCTTAGAAGAATTAAAAGCATCATATCTCAATGATATATGTGTACCCTTTTATAGGACCACAATTTGTAATAGTTAGATCTTGGAAACAACCCAAATACCCATCAACCGAGGAACAGATAAGAAAGATGTGGTATTTTTATAGAATGGAGTACTACTAGGCCATAAAGAAGAATAAACTTTAGACTTTTATAGGTGAATGAATGCAACTTGGGGCAATATTCCTAAGTGAAATAAATCAGACTCATATATGCAGACATCATATAATGATGAAATAAATCAGACTCATATATGCAAACATCTTCCTGGTGTGAGAAATTGAAAGAGTAAATAAGGTATAAAATGTACAGTAGGTATTATGAAATAAGAAATTGTTTAAAAGAAGAAAAGAACTAGGATGAGCGAAAGGGGACAGGAAGGAAGGTAAAAGAGAAAAATGCAAGTTAGCTATACTATCAGGGTCTCTTAGTTCATTGAAAATGAAGGTTTGTGCTAATATAAATTGGACAATTTTTTATGCCCATATCTTGTATGCTGAGTAACTACTTTGAAGATGACAATATGCAATGTATTAACTATTGTTACTCTCCCATTATTTTATTATGAAATTCTATTTTACCTTTTTCCCATAAAAAAATTAAAAAGATCAAATTTGATGTGCAATTTGTTGTTAACTTGCTTAACACTTTAAGCATATCAACTCAGATATTTTATGATTACATACAAAGTACAGAAACGGGGGTAAAAATCACATAGGAATATATTTCAACCTCAACCTGACCTATCCTGGGTTCATTGGTTATTTTGGCATCTGAAAATTCTGACTCATTTGTTTTTCTTTTCTACTCGTAATTAACCTCATATTGTCTCCATAACCCTCCCCACATGAAGGAGATTCATGTACACAAAGGACTTGGCTTCATTTTATCACAGACAGTAGCACAATTTGATTATTGAGTTGCATATACTGAAATAAACTACAAGTCTTCTCTTTGCTTTACATGTATTCAAAAGATCCTTGGATAAAGACAGTCCCGACCAATGCAAATAGTTTTTTTTTTAGATTCTTCCTTTCTAGGATTTGACAATGATTGCTAGTAATTCCTAAACCAACCAATACCTTGGTGATGACCACCTTCTGTTGAGATCGCCAAAACCGGACCAACCTCTCACAGAGATACAGGAACATGGGACCTACTATCCATTTCCAAGTCTGCAATCAGAGCAAAATTGAAAATGAGATTTGCTAAGGGTAAATAGTAAAAGATTCTCAAGGTGAGAAAACTGTACAAGTAAGGTTAATCTTTGTAGACTTGCTTAAATATTTGACATTTATAAGTAAATATTTCCTATAACAGATTATATGAAAATAAGTATCTGAAATTATAATAAATTGTTGATCCAGTAAAAGTTAATATTCTCCTTAGCTATGTTAGGGAGCTGTACCTTCTGTATGAAACTTTTCAAAGAGGAAGTATCTACAAGATTTCCTCTGTGTCACAACTGCAGTTGCAATAACCCTACACTAGAGGAAGGTTGGTTTCAGAATTAATATTTCTCTAAAAGATTGCATTTCAACAACATGATATTTTTAATGCAACGTTGCAATTGCTTTATCTCAACTATGGAGTCAGAGATTAATGTTTTGCAAGATGACAAATTTTGTGCAAGAGCTTAGTTGTTTCTTCAATATTCTGCTAGATACCAGGAGCTACAAAGCACATTTGCTGCATGAGGACAAAGTCAAAGATTTTTAGACTTCTATCAATGCCCCTCTTGACAAAATATGCAGCATTTCGGAAGACTGGAATTACTTTGTAACATTGTTGGCTATATAAAATATTTAGTCCAATCTGATTAATCCTAAGACTGCTAATTGGATTTCTAATTTAATGTCTGAAGTAAAAAAAGGAATTTTAGAGGGCAATACAATTTAAAATATAGCTTTCCAGAATGGATTCCAAGGAGGGAAAAAGTCAGGAAGTGTTTCTTTTCTTTTTTTTTTTTTTTTTTTTTTTGTTTTTTTTCCCCAATACCAGGAATCAAACTCACAACCTTGCATTTGCCAGGCAGGCGCTGTGTCGCTGAGTTAAATCCCCAGCCCCCAGGAAGTGTTTCTCACATAAGATCTTTCTATTAAGTTGTAGTTTTTAGTTTTAGTAAACTAATTGCTGCAAGTTTAGAGCACTTGAATGCCCACATCTCCAGGCAAAGCTGAACAATATCTGCACTAGACGAATGTTCTGCTGCTAGACTTCATTTTGATGAGACAGATATTTAGCATAGTCTTGTATCTGTTACCTGGTTGCCACCATAGCACTATCGAATGAAGCCAGATTTTGGCATTGCCTCCAATATACCTAGATATTCAGAAGCTCTTTTGAAGTTCATTTCCCGTTAAGGTAGTAGTATTCTGATTCTAGCTGTCATCGAGGAAAAAATGCTTTCCCTGGCCCATAAGAGGACTATAAAAATAGTTCCTTTTTTGTGGTGTTGAGAATGAAACCCACACACTCTTCTTCCTTTTAGCCTTCAATTCCTGTCTAATGTACTGAGTGGGGTCACTACCCTGATGGGTATGGTTGCTTTCATTAATAAACAAAGATGCTCAAAGATGATAAAATTTTGTAGCATGCTACATTTATAGGAAGGGTACTCCCACGCAAAGAGACTAGAAAAAAAGAAACAAGAAAATGGGATGATAAATTTACCTTTGTGTCATATCATACTTAGGGAAAAATCTAATAAACCTGCATAGAAGCCTGTAGAAATGTTGAATTTTGTCTAGTTTTACATCAATGGTTAGCACAATAACCAATAAAATGTGCAGCCTGCCAATGGAGAAGAAGATATGAAGAATATAGGACTCATTTGTCATGGAGTAGAGACGCTGAGCATACACAAAATGGGGCTCTTCAGAACTTCATATAGGAGAATGAAAATATTTCACCCTTGTTCACCCTTGTCACATCCCTACCCTATCATGAGGTGCCACAGGGCATTTGTGTCAACCTGGCTGTATAGTATCCTTTATGCCTGATAGACTTAATCTTTCAATGCCTAAAAGCAGCTGAATGTGGTACTTCATCAATTTTCTTCTCAAATTTAGAAGCCATATAGAAAGTCTTAACTTCCTGGCACCTGAAGAGGATCCCAGCTGTTTGAAAGTGATTATCTGAGCTCTCTAACTCAGCTAAGGATGGAATCCCTAAGTGTCTCTCTAAAAATAATTAACTGGTGTGACTGTGCTACTTTCATTCAGAGGAAAGGGGACAGAACTCTTTGAACCGAAATAGCAGTTTCCAAAATATTGATTTCTCAAGTTTTATATCAGGATATTGATAACAGACAAATGTAAATTTTGCTTTTCAAAAAGCCAACTCTAGTCAATAAGTATAGAGAAAAGTAGACACTCATCACATCCTAGAAGTTTCATGATATTTGTAATGGGTAACTCTATGATATTTGTACATTTCCTAGACACTGTTTGCAGATTGTCAGTAATAAAAGTTTAATAGCAACGATGGATTGCACATACCATAGGAGGGTTCCCAGAGAACTCTGGCACTGGGCAGCCCTTTATTTTCCCCCACTGTGTGATATTTTGTTCACATATATGTGGGTTGTGTTCATTTAAACTTTTGTCAGTCTGCCCACGTACAATGCGTCTGCAAAGAAAACACAAGTTTAGTTTATTTATTAGCAACAAATCAGGATGTCTGTTTCTTATATTCCTGGCTCTTCTTTTTCCCTATGCTGAGGATTAAATCTAGGGCCTCATGCATACAGTACTAAGAAACACTCTACCAATGAGCTGCACCACTAGTCCTGATTCTGGGTGTAATTATGTACCTTAATATGAATCCTGTGCTTTTCACTTAAAAATTATATCTTACCCTCCCTCTCAAATAGAAGAGAAAATGTATGTGATCTTGAGCAATACAAAAAAATATGTGCAGTGCCGTAAAGAATATATACATAAAGCAAACAAACAAATAAAACAGAAAAACTGAAATTTAACAGGGTGACGACTAGCCCATACATTGCCTTTGTGCAAATTAGAAAAAGACTCCCCTCCATGAGGACAGTCTCGTAGGCAAAGGACTTGATCAACAGAGTGCAGGCTACTTTTCCTCTTGGTGAGTCATCCTTGTGTGGTGGACAGCTTGTACAGTCGTACAAGGTGGTGTCTCTTAGCTAAAGTGCTTTATTTGTGAGTTCAAAAATCATTCAAGTGAAGCAAACAGGCTGAAATCTCTTTGAAAAGACATAACCTTATGGGAATTGTGGCATTTTCTTAGACATAAGCACTGACAGTGTGTACCTTGAAATTGGTTAAAGCTCATTTGCTTCAGTTCAGTAAATATTAATAGAGCAACTGCTAAAATATAAACCTATGCTGGGTTTATTGATGATGGAGGAAAGGAGACACATAGTTAAGTAATGTCCTTGACTTCAGCTCTCAAGGAATATAAATGACAAAGTCCTCAGAATATAAAAGATAGAGACAGAATTCCCTTTGTAAAAGTCGGCTTTGGAGAACTCTAATTTATTGTGCCATTTACATGCTTTGAGAATGTTTTAATTCAAGGTCATTAACCACCCTTTTCTATTTCTACGTCTTAAGGAAGATACCATGTATCAACCACCTATTATAGCTAAGCCTGAGGAAATTAATCCAAATTATCTCAGTTAATCCTCATACGAAACCTGCAAGGCAAATATTATTACCCCAGGAGGGGTTATATAACCTCCTGTTACAGGAGGGTTAATAACAAACTAGAATGTATTGGTGAAAACAATTCTTTGAACGGTAGGTTTTAAGTTCAAATTCCATCCCTTAGTAGTTTGGTGAACTTGAGAAAATTATTTAAATGTTTTGAACCTGTTTCTTTAGCTGTACTATAAATATAATAATACCTCATTAAAGGTTTATTTTAGTAATCAATTGCATGATGTATTGAAAAAATGAGATACAAAGCAAGGGTCCAAAAATGGTAACTTTTACATTGTTGATTACCAAGTTCACACAGGGAACTTCTGAAGCCTGGAAGACTGGATTTTATCCCAGTTCAGCTGTCACCTAGCTGGGAGACCATGAGCAATCACCTAACCAGGGTAAGCCACAGAACCTCTTCAAATGGAGAATGGGGCCAACAAATATCTACTCCAAAAGGAGATGGAGATCTATGACACTATATTCAGCATTGGGATTACTAAACTAGGGAGGGGAAGAAATTCCTTCCTTGATCTAGGACTTTTTGAAGCAGCTGGATTATGTCTAAATTTCATTTAAAGACACCCATATTGATTTGTCAGTGCTCAGAGAAAGTTTATCAGGGGTCAGAGTCAAGAGGAAGGTTAAGAATGTACACAGAGGTTGCCCAAGGCTGCTTCTCTGCACACTTCTCCTTTTCACACTCAGCTCTTGGCCCCCACAGGCCTGCTTTGGCTTGAAGAAGGGCATTTGAGGCTTGAGCATGTAAGTTCCCCACCACTACTTTCTTGGAACCCTGTGCCCACCAGTGAACTTCCCTGGGCCTGCTTTGTGGTGAGGTGGTGGGAAACAGTAGAAAAGGGAAACTTTGTATTAAATGGAGTTCCTGCCAAACACACACCCACACAGACTCTGTGCCTGTGTGTGAACATTCCTCAGAGCCTGTGCTCAAGGTCACTTCTGGCTGGAGATGGCGTGGCCTACATATTTTACTATTTTTATTTTGAGGTTCTTTGTCTAAAACAAAATGGGGATAGTGAGGGTCTTGAGACATTTTGAGGACTGAAAGAAACATTTCACATCAACTTCTTAGCACAAAGCCTGACATAGAACAAGTGCTCAATAGAAGTTAGCTTTTACCTTTATTATATGAGAATATTTTACTTTTATTATATTAGGATGTTTTACCTTTATTATATTAGAATTAAGGCAATCTCCAGGTAGGAAGTTTTCCTGATAGTATTCCCTAAGAAAGGCCCTCAATTTCAGTAGATTAGTAAATGATTGTTGGGTTAAATCAAAACTGATTGAACTACAGCAAATCCCTTCAACTGATTAGTCATTACTTCCCTGGTTTGAGAGTGTCTAATTTACTAGTGATTTAGCGATTTAGCCACAAGAGACAATACTATAGACATACAAGACCGTATGAGTGCTCTCAATATAATCTATACACTTGCAAAGATAGGCTTTGTCCCCTCAAAGTCTCATGCAGTTTCACGTGGGGCTTTTTCGGAGGTGGCTGGATCTAGAGTATATAGAACTGATTCATGGTGCAATGCTAGGATCAAGGGCAGCAGGTTGAAAGGTGTGAGTGCAACCTGCCCTAAATAGCCTGCATAAGGTACAAGGGATAGAAAGAGTCATGGTTGTCTCTTACATGCTTTGCTATCTTCTGTCCGCCATGAATTGTTTCTCCTTGTGAGACATGTCTGCTATCCCCCCTACCTTGGAGCCAATTGCTTACCTATCAAAATCTGCACAAACTGTGATCTAAACAAAACTTTCCCCCTTTAACTGTTGAGTATTTTGTCTCAGCAATGAGAGACAAGTAACTAAGACAGACGTTGGTACATTTTTCAAGCTTGTTATAAAAAACTGAACTATGAATAGCAATTACTTGGGTGTAAGAAACCAAAAGTGTTGCTGACTAGTTTCTATTGAAATGACTTCTGCTATCTTTTCACATTTCGTTGGCAGACAGGCTAACCACACACAAGTAAGGAAGCCAATGCGCCTCTAATAGAGTGCCCTGCTCAGAAATAAAAGAACATAAAGCCCTTGGCTTCCAAGTTAAAAACTCACTCAGCTCCATGGATGGCAAGACCGATGAAGAAGATAACAAAGAGATGATGTGTGTACCAAAACACTTCAAAGTAAGACCTCCGGATGGTTTTCGTGGAGGAAGTGATAATTAAGATGAGGCAAAGAGTGATAACAATTCCAGTGATTCCTGCCAAACGAGTCACAGCCACGTACAGGCCCCCTTCAGGGTTCTGTGAAATAAAAACACACATACACACAAATGCACATTATTATAGGTTCTCAAATACAGGGCTGTATATTTATTGTGTCCAGTGAACAGAGAAAAGACATTTTTATCACTCCTTTGGATAATCCTAATCACTCCTGTAAGAGAAATATAGATACAGAATAGATATTTCTAAATTTTGAAGTAGTTTACATAGTTAAAGAGTCATAGAAAATAGAAACTAATACACTTAGGTACTTCTAAAAGAGTATCACACAAAGTAAATCACCAACTAAAAGATCTTTACAGTGTCTCAAGCTTTTTCTCCCTTTGATTTGGACAGGACCACCATGCTTCATTTCCAGATGTGTTCTGGGAATGCCAAATGTCTTAGGCTGGTTTTCCCAAGAATTGACCAAGAGACCATTATTCATGGATAAGTGATTCAGAAAGAATATGCTGTAAGAGAAACTCGTAAGGGAATGAAGAATAGGTCAGGAAAAAGGTCAAAGCCAAGCAAGGGAATGATCTCAGACAAAATCTCACAGGGGATAGCTTCAGTTTGATTCTGCAGAGGAGTAAAATGCTTCTAACTTGAGGTGAAGATACTGGGCTTTCATGAGCTACACTGATCAGTTATTGGCTAAAGGGCTGCCTGGGAGAGGTGAACCATTCAGGCCCCTTCAGATCTCAGTCTATGTACAAAGTGATGCTAGTTATCCCCTGGATAGTTTTTGGAGGAAGAAGTACAAGGTAGAGGGTATAGGTCATGGAAAATGAAAACAACCTATGTATATTTGGGCAAATAATGAAAAATGTAAAGAAAATCAATCCAGAATATTGTAGGAAAATACTTAATTTTTTGATGTTATTTAATTCTGTGTCTAAGCAGATTAGGCAAATTTTACTCATGTCAACTCAAGGATGATAATTTAGGCAAATTAAGGGTCTTCTGTTGTGATCTTTTCTCAACAAAAAGAAATGTGTTTGTATACTAGTGTAATGTAGCCATCTTTCCAAGCCACTGAACATATGAAAATGGCTTGGGGTTTCTTCAGGAAGCTTTAACAACTAATGGGATGGAAGAAATGCTTTCCTTTGAATACCTTCATGGCTGCCACTGGAGAACTGGTGAGTTATGCCCAGTACACCAAGAAATGATCATTAGCAGCCACAGGTTACCTCTGAGATGTTGCGGGTGAGAAAGATCAAAAGCATCACTGACGACTATTGGCTTGTGCCTGACCTGACACTAACACCTGGGCAGGGAGTTCCTTAATTCGCATAAGTAATTTCACACAAGTTCCTTAGTTCATATAAGTAATTTCATAGAACACAAACATCAGACGAGATTACTTTGTGACTATGTTGGATGAAATAAAAACAAAACAGTTCTGAAATCATAACTGAGCTCAGACAACAATGAGTGATTACTGCTTCCTTACCTATTACAGATTTAGCCCCATTCTGTTCTTTTTGCCCCTTAGAAAAGAATTAAGATAGTAATCTCAGAACTACTTCTAGTCTTTTGTTTTCACAGCTTAGGGAACACCTGATTTAGGAAATGAGAGGCTTACCTTGATTCTGTTTCGAACAAAATTGAGATAAGTTTCATTCTTTTTGTCTCCAATATCAGAGAGTGCTATTGAATAAGGATCAGAATTGTTGACTCGGGCATCCACACACCACTCCACATTGAAGAGATGTGCAATAGTATGAATTGCTAAAGAGGGAAGCACAGAGAAAGAATGAGTGTGATAAGTAATCATAAATGTATTGTAATCTGGATTCTGACTACAGCAGTCACAGGGAAACATAAGGATGGTGTAGGATGCTTATAAACAAGAACTGGATCTCCACAACCAGACAGGCAAATTGCCTCTAGTAGGTAAGGTCCTTCCTGCTTGTGTTATTGTGAGAAAATAAATTACCATGTCTGGTCTTGGTTTTCTCATTTGTGAAATAAAGATGTTCTGTTATATACTCCTAAAGATTCAAGGATTCTAAATTTCTACAAAACGTAGAAATTTAGAGGGCATTAGATAGGTTCTCATTCTCATTCTCTCTCTCTGTCTCTCTCCCCCCCCCCAAGATATTTTTGCTGAAACAAGAAAACTCTTCTGTAATATATGCCTAATGGTTGGCCCATTCACCTGACTCTGAAGTTCCCGCCAGAGATGATAAATGTGACTAAACTGCATACAGACTAGTGATCATAACAATCTCTTAGAAAAACAGTTTTTCACACCAGGGAGACAATATGATGTTTACACATGTGAGTCTGATTTATTTCACTAGTGAATATGGTCTCAAGTGGCATCCATTCAACTGTAAAAGTCTCAAGTAGAAAAACAAATCACATTCTTTATTTCATGGTCACTTGCATAGGGGTTACTGGGTATAGGCACTACTAATATTTTTCAATTACTTAATACTTATACTCAATGATATAGGTACAATTAAAATCAGATCATCTTACAGTTGAAGAAATTAAAGCATAGATTACATTATAACCTTGCCCTTAGTCATTAAGCCAGGAAATAACAGAGTTAGGAATCAAATCGAGTTTAGCAAACAAGCCTGTGTTCTTAACGAATAAACTATAATACTTAGCAACAGGATTAGATCATACATTTCTATGTAATTATTTCACTTGCCACAACTCAAAAAACTTGCATGTTGTAGGAAAAGAAGAAATTAGGTAAGCACCTATCAACTAACCCTACTTTACTCAAGTTAGGGGAGAATTCCTTCAGGCAACTTAAAGCTTGCTGTGCTCATTTTTGTGCATGTCTGTTGACTGGCACATTAATTATTTATTAAGTGAGTCAGTGGAGATTGGTTAAGTGCCCTAGACATATCACTTCTCGCACTGACATTGCCACCTTCATAATTACAATGATAATATCTAATGTTATGCATACATATACCTATTGTATGTATACACATGATAATAGAGTCATCATAATATTGAAGATGTTTATCTGATAAGGGCTTTCTTATTCAATACTCCAGTTTGGGCTGATGTTCCAGCACATTTACTGTAAAAAAATGTACAAGTCTACATGTGAAGCCAAGCAATTTTGCAAAATGAGTAGAAGCTATCATAGGTGGACTAACAAATATTTTTCATACTAAAAAGGGTAGGAAAATGTGAGAACACTATGATTGACTTTTCTCCTGGCACACTGGCATTTTTTATGGGTCCATCCCAGGGTGATAAAAACTTCAAGGAGCAAAGAAATAAACACTAGTATTGAGATAATCAAAAGAGTTATGAATACTTTTGGACAGAAATAGAACTCATTCAGAAAATACCGCACAAATGATAACAAAATTGACCTGTAAAGGCTGATATCTTACACTTAGGTATCAAAGAATAGAGGGCACTCTGGCTCCAATTTTTCTTCATAATTTCAATTGCCTTAATAAGCTTACCAGTGTGAAGTGCTATCATCCACGCCACCATTTTATGAAAGGTGAGGTTCCTATCCAGTTGTCTTCGAATTCTTGTTGAGCAGCACTTTGGGTTAAGGGAGAAAGAATGGCATATAAATTATTAATAAGAAGACTTTCTATACGTCAGATATTTGACACACGATCTCGTTTAATTTTCATGACTATCCTACAAATGTTATCCTTCTATGAATCTGATAGATGAGGAAACTGAGCCTGGAGAAATGTAGTCATTTTCCCCAGGTCAGATACGTAGTGAATGACATAGCTAGCTCATTTAGTGCGTTTCATATTCTCATACCATTAACATGAAATTTTACCTAGATTCTGTTGCTTATTTGTGTAAAAATGCAAATTTGAACACAAAAGATAGCTAACCATACTGTTTCTAATGCGAGTTAATTCATTCAATAAACGGGATACAGAAATAAGTAAAAGCAGGCTTGCTCTCACATTCCTGAGTCTAGTGAGGGAACAGACCAATGAACAGTTCAAGAACAAGTGAATAGTTCAACAAAAGTAATCCAGGACATACACACTCTGGGAGGAGAAAGAAGAATCCACCTGCCCATGTTCATCAGGGACATCACAAAGGAGATCGGTGAATAAATAATAGTACAGTACTAGCAAAAAATAACAATAACATTTACCAAGAGCTTGTGCAAGGAGCAGTTTTAAGTGTTTTAAAAGGAATTGGCTTATTTAATTCTTACATAAACCCTATTAGGGAGGTACCATTGTTCTTCCTACAAAACAGGTGAGGAAACAGAGATAGAATGATTGCCTTGCCTTAGGTCACACAACCAACAAGAAGGACAGATGAGATTTAAACCTAGGCCATCTGATAACAGAGTTTATACCAATATTTCAATATTTTATAACTTATATGTTTAACTTGACATTAAAAATAGTATCTTGGTCCATATTTTAATGTATTTTCCCACTTGCATATTTTAGAACATGCGGGTTTGAAACTGGATTCAAGTTAAAGCTCAAAGGCATAAAAAGAACTGTTAGTGGCTGAATTAAATTTTTACTTTCCTGGGAAGTAACTCATTTCTGGCCTGGATGCTTTGCTTCAGAATTTTTTTTTTTTTTTTTTTGAGGCATAGTCTTGCTATGCACTTTAGGCTGGTCTTGATCTCATTATGTAGCTCAGGTTGGCCTTGAATTTGCAGCATTCTTCCTGCCTCAGCCTCTGAGTGCTGGGATTATAGGCCTGTGCCACTATGTCTGGGTTTTGCTTCAGAATTTAAATGTACTACTACAAAGCTTCAGAAGACTTTAAGAAGAGGATGGTTAAGTATCAAAAAACTTAGATATTTTAAATATCTGGTTCTAAACGTTGTATTCAATTTAAATAAGAGGGCACTGAGTTTTTGACTTACTTATTTTTAATAAAATATTTTGTGTTTTATAGAAGCATATAATTGTATGGAAAATTGTGCTTATCTCACTATTTTTCAGTTAGCCATACCTAAGGTGGGCAGGATGTTTAAACCATGAGAGATGATTCTTGGAATTGAAGAAATACTAGTAAAAAAGATGGTGAGGATTCCAAAGCAGGAGAAAAAGTATTAGACACTATTATATTTTCTGTGAGCCAAGTAGTTTGCCCATAATCATTAGTTTGTGTAATGCAATGAAATAACTACATTTGTCTTCATTGTATAGATAGAAAATTTAAACTAAAATCTCGCATTGACTGAGATTTTAGTCCATTTGTCTATAAAAGATGCATGCCCTTTTCTGTCCAACCAAACTCAAGCAGGTAGTCACTATTCTTCTAAGTGACTAAAAATCTGAAACAAGCAGAGGGAGGAAGGAGAAGTAAGGCTGGTAAGGAAAAGAAACCAATAAAGGATATATTATCGTCCTATCTACCACTAATCATATATCAGTGGGTTCAATCCCACTAGGTAACTCTAGGAGACTAAAGAACTTGTCCTAAAGGGTTTTTGTGGGTTTGGTTTGTTTGTTTGTTGTGTTTGGGTCTTCATCTAAGCAGTTAAGAAGCTTAGGTGTCCATTCAACAAATCCATCAATCACTGGCTGAGGGTTGTTCCCAGGCATTGACTTGCTGGCATTTCAGGTGTGTACCAGGACAGTGCTAAAGGAAAATACTCCGGCACAGAGTGGTGTGCAGAGGGTAGCTACCCTGTGTATTGGAGCAGCCAGGGATTAGGGAATTGGTGATGACTCTGTTTACCAGGGGAGTGGAGTAGTGATTCATTCATTTATTTATTTATTTGTAACTAGAAATCTAACCTCATTTCATCACTCCAGTAAGGACTATCTTTATGCCTAGTCATCATTTTTTTTAGTATGGTTTAGCTCCCATCTAGAGGACAAGCTGTCTATATGAGGAACATTATCTTATGTACTTTAAAAATTCTTTAATAATTGTTTGGTTGTACAAAGGAATTGTATCCTAATGAAGATGATGACTCTAAACCCACAGAAGTTATGCACTCTCATTTCTACATTTGCCACACTATTTGATTTCATACTTCTTGAAAAATTCTTTTGAGAGTTAGGAGGAAAATTTACTGCATAATAAATCTAAAGAAGATGACTGGTTTTTTTGTAGCCCCTACATTGTGTCCATAGTCCTACCTTTTCTGTTAGTTTTCATGTTTAAATTTTAGTTTAGTTTATTAGTACATGGGTGTGGTACGTAATGTTTACATTCCTGTGTGAAGTTGGAACTTGCACATAGCACGTCTTAATTCCTTTTTTTTTGTGCTCTTTCTCTTCCCTCGCTCCCCCATCCCTTCATCTTCCCTTTTTTGTGCATGTTTGCAGTACATGATGCTTACATTCCTTTTGTGCAGTTGGCACATGCACATAACATGTCTCAATCTTTTTTTTCATCTGTTATCCCTTTCCTCTCTCCCTGTTTCCTCCAGCTCTTGATCCCCTTCCCCTACCTTTATCACCATTATTAACATGCATGAGACAATATGCATGTCTTACAAAATGTAAGACAATAGATGCTGATGTCCCATAACAGCCTTTTTCTTCTTTTGCTTTTGGTACCAGAAATTGAACTCAGGACCTTGTGCTTGCCAGGCAGGCACTTATGCCACTGAGCTACATGCCCGGCCTCATAAGAGCTTTTGCAACACATCCTGAAGAGAAAATAAACCGAATGCCAGAATGATGGAGAGATGTGATTGAGAAATACAATTTAGATTCATCAATACTGTTTTATCTTATCTTAATAGGTTTTTATTTAGTTATTTATTTTTCTTTTTGTCTTTTTGAGACAGGAACTTGCTATGCAGTTGAGGTTGGCCTTAAACTCACTTTGTAGGATAGGTTGGTCTTGAACTCACAATGATCCTCCTGCCTCAGCCTCCTGAGTGCTGAGATTATGGCATGTGCCACCATGCCCGGCCTTTAATAGGTAATTTTTAAAGCTAGCTAATATACAACACATCTAATTAGATAAATAAAAACAGGTGCTAGTAGCTACTATTGGGCCAGGGGAATGAGTCCCAGCAGAGCACTAATCCTAACTTTTTCATAGATAGCTGTTTTGGTGTGCTCAGGAAGAGTGGACAAATCCAAAGAAAATCTACAGGTCACGCTGATACTGGGATTTCAAGGCAAAGATCTCCCTATGCCCTGTAAAGGATGCAAGACGACAAGTTGATATGGTAGGAAGGAACATGAATGAAGGAAGATGATGATTCATCTCAGTCATCATCTTCACTGGCTTTGATCGCCCAGGACCTTTCTGTTCTTTACCATGCAGATATTACTCTTTTTTGTTATTTTAAAGAGAGTAGTAAATGAGAAACAAACAAAAAAATAGAACAGTAGTAGCATACCAGTATTACGAGCATAAACAAATCATAGCAACAACATTCAACGTGATACAGGGTCTCCAGACAAAATAATACAAATCATCAGCGGTTGTTACATTGCATATTGTTATCCTCAACTACATGCTCAGATTCTTAGATGTAAGAATGAAAGATTGCTCAAATCATTAAAGAAAATAAGAAAATAATTCTTCAATAAAAACTTAGAGATAATATAGAGTATCATTAGACACGATGGTAGTTCACAATTGTAATTCCAGTGCATATTGTTACCTTCAAATCACTTACTCAGACCACCAGACACAAGCATGCAAAATCGATCAGAACATAAAAAATTGTGAGCATTAACTGTTCATTCCAATACACCATCAGACATCAGCAATACAGTTATCACAGCTATTCATGTATATATTTATATTTTGCCTTCCTTCTTTCTTTTTTCTTCTTTCCCTCATCCCAGTTGTTCCTTCCTTTGAGCAGTTTCTTTCCATTTCCTGTCATCTATTGTATGTTTTGAGTTTTACCTAGTCTTTCAGTTTCCTACACCAAGGAGACAATATGATGTTTACCCATCTGGGTTCGATTTCTTTTACTTATGAGTATGGTCTCTAGTTGCGTCCATTTACCTACAAAAGCCTTGAGATTATCTTTTTTAATAGCTGAATAATACTCCATTGTATAAAAATAACACATCTTTTTTATCCATTCCTCAGTGGATGGGCATCTGGGTTGTTTCCAAGATTTAGCTATAACAAATTGTGCTGCTATAAACATGGGTGCGCATATATCGCACTGGTGTGATGTCTTTAATTCTTCTGGGAAAATATCCAGAAGGGGAATAGCTGGGTTAGATGGGATTTTCAATCCTAGTTTTGTGAGGAATCTCCAAATTGATGTCCACAGTGGTTTCACCAACCTACACTCCCACCAGCAGTGGAGTAGGGTTCCTTTCTCCCCACAGCCTCTCCAGCATTTGTTGTGGGTTGATTTCTGGTTGATGGACATTCTTTCTGGGGTGAGATGGAATCTCAGTGTTGTTTTAATTAGCATTTCTTGAATGACTAATGACGTTGAACATTTTTTCATGTATTTATTCACCATTAGTATCTCTTCCTTAGAGAAGTGTGTATTCATCTCAGGTGCCCATTTTTGGATTGGGTCTTTGAATTTGGGAGGACTGATTCCTTTTTATTCTTTATATGTCCTAGATAGAAGTCCTTTGTCTGAGGGGCAGTTGGCTAAAATTTTTTCCCAATTTGTGGGTTTTCACTTTACTTTACTGGTGATTTCTTTAGATGTGCAAAAACTTTTCAGTAGGATGAGATCCCAGTTGTTGATTCTTTAAAGTATTTCCCATGCAGTTTGGTTTTTGTTCATGAACTCTCTGCCTACCCCAATGTCTTCAAGATTTTTACCTACTTTCTCTACCAATAAATTTAATGTTTCTGTTTTAATATTTAGATCTTTGATCCATTTTGACTTTAATTTAGTGCATGGTGAAAGGCAGACCATGCAGATATTACTTCTGTGCTTTGAATCACTTTTGAATTATTGCTAGCTACCTAGAAATTGCCCAAGATGCCGTCATGTCCCATAGCTTCCTCACTGACTGAACTACCTCTTTGTTTTCCACTATTGCTTTCTAAAGGGAAATTTCTCTGTTACTGTCACCAAGATCCTTGCCCAACTTCAACAAACTATCATTCTGATGCAAGGCACATGGTTGAAACATTGGCAAATTTCTATGCCCTATTGAAACCATGGATTTCAAAAAATGAGAAGTTAAAATAAAAACAAGTGTATATTTAGTGGGGTATAATGTGAGTTTCTGTAGCTCTATTTTATGTACACTTGGTCTTGTCACATATACCATTAAAACATCTGAATGAGATATTTATATACAAGTTGGAGGAAATGGAAAAAGCTTCTACAGAACTCAAGCAAAGAAGCGAATCGTGATATCCACACATTGTGGCAGTCTATGTGATAAACATGAAAGACACTGTTTTTACGGCATTGTTTATAATTTTGAAGTCATATGTTTATTCTCTGTTTTTTTCCAGAAGACTCTAATCTCCTTAAGCTTGTGACCCATCCATTTGTACTCCTAACTTATCTTGTATCTCCAGTGCTTAGTACATGGATGACACAAGTATTTACTAGGTGTCAATTCACTAATTGACAGACTTAATCAGCCTACTTTTACTAAAAGTATATTATTTACTTCTTTTTCCTCTTCCTCCTCCTCCTCCCCCTGTTCTCCTCCTCCTTTTCCTCTTTCTTCCTCCTCCTCTTCTTCTTCCTCTTCCTCTTCCTCCTCCTCTTCTCATCCTCCTCCTCGTCCTCCTCCTGCTCGTCCTCCTCTTCCTCCTCCTCCTCCTCCTTCTTCTTCTTCTTCCTTCACAATACTTGAGATTGAACTCAAAGCCTTGTGTATGCTGAGCAAGTGCTCTACCACTGAGCTAGAGTTCATATTTGTTCTGATATTTGCACTTATTTTTCAGCTAAAAATATTTATTAGACAGAGGTCTAAGGGACTCACTCTAGGATGTCAAATGGTGACAGAGAGAGCCACAATGAGACTGTTTCATTCTCAGACTATATAAGGTAACAAATAAGACCTCACCCTTTCACATTCTTGTTTCTTTCTGATCTTAAGACTAAGACCATCATCAAGTTCAAAATTAGTTTCTATGCATCAAGGTGCAGTTATTAAAGGTTCCTCTGGGACTTCTGCATGCTGAACTCTGCCCTTGACTAACAGCCTTTACCCCAACCTTCTGGAGGTGGACTTGGGGAGGGCCATCCTTGGGGCTTTCTTCAGGTAACCAAAAGGATTGCAAACAAATTGAACAGAGGTTCTGTGGCTGTTTCTTTGGTACAGTATTCCACTAAGAAGCCTTGAACTTACAACACCTTGTCATTTTTAGCCTAGGCTATTCAGCATGCTCAAACACTCATGCGTATGATGGCTTTTTAAGACTGAAATATAGCAGTAGAACAGTTTCAAGAGATTTAGGTAGTGCATTGAAAAGTGAGTAGGCTCTTGGGGCAAAATGATTTGGTTTTGAACCCCCAAACTCTCATTTAATTTTGTTCCCACCTCATTGTCTTGATGTGCAGATTTCATGAATTGAATTCTAGTAAGACCATTATGCTTTCCAACATTCATCACACCACATTTACTCATTTTAATCCCAGTCAGAAAAAAAGTTTCATTTTCAAAGTTCCCTTTCGAGGTTGGGAGACCCAGAAAGGGCATTCTCTGTCTGCAAAAGAATCTTGCATATATATATCCTTTTACATGAAGAACTATCTGATTACAGACAGCCTTGTTTCACTGTCTTGAAACCCTCTCAAAGCCAGAAGAGCTAAGTGTTGCCTTTACAAAATGTGCTGCTCATAGGACATGAGAGTTCAATGGCAGTGCAAGCTGGAGCTGTGGGGTAAGAAGGATTTCTTAACTGGTGTAAACACTGCCTGTTTCTTAGGCTTTACTTCCTCTAAATAGAAGGTTTTTGGATGGGGGAAGGGAGAATAAAGAATGTGTTTCCATAGAAACAAAAAGCTATCATGCATGTTGTCATTTAACAAATGTTCATTGGGCACCTACACTATATCAAACACTGTACAGTAAGGGGCTCATCAATCAAACTTTCAATCCAGTGGAATTTCGTCTCTGTGGCTTCTTAGGTTATGGAGTTTATTTGGAAATCCTTGTAATCAATGTTGAATACTAAGTGTGGTTGTTGGTTTTTGGCTTTGTTTGGCCATCACTTTGCAAGACAAATTGTGCAACAAAATTCATGACTTAAAAAAAGGAACTTCCTCACAGACTTTTGTAGAGGAAAAAGTCACAACATTTTTCTTTTGCTGTTTTCTACTGAAGTAAAGTTTTAGGTATTTTTGCCATAAGTATGTGTATGTATTTACTTATTTGCAATGTTGAGGATTGAGTCGAGGTCCTTGGGCATGCCATGCAAGAGCTCTCAACCACCTCTCCCAGCGCTTCCTTTAAAATTAGACTGGAGAGAGTTTAATTTGGGTAGTAGGTTTAAGACAAAATGACATTTAGTTAGTAGTGATTAGTATAAAAGAAGAGCTAATTGTAGCTTACTGATCCTACATTACTAAATTTAGTATTATATGTTATTTAAAAATCTCCATCGGACCAATGTGAATTAAATGTAACTAGAAAAAATAAGGCAGCGTTCAAGGCAAGTTATACTTGTCATTCACAGTTTAGTTCACTTTCTTCACAAATATTTAGTGATTGGGAAATGAAGTAGCAAGTCCTTAGTACTACATTATTTGTTGGCAAATTCCAGCATTCCTCTCTTGCCTTATTTCAGAAAACTGCCTTATACAATCCCTATGTTCCCATAAAAATAATTTCTTTCCTATTCTTCTCCATAAATGATTTCTACTTAATATGTATTTTTAAAAGCTTGTTTTAGGAAACACATACATTTTATTAAAATGATAAAAACAGAGGCTGCTAGTCACTGATGCACCAGGAGAATGGGTTGCACCAGAGAAACAATCCCTAATGTATCCCAGCTGCTCTCTTTGAAATGGTCAAGAAGGGCAAACAAATCTAAAGAGAATACACAAGTCTTGTTGACAGTAGATTTTCCAGAGGGAGATTTTTCTCACCATTTCCTGTGCTTTCACCCACGGCATTTTCTCCATGTAGAATGAATTTCTCTCATTTACAGTTCCATGATGCTTATCTATGCCCACCTCCAATGCCACTTTCTCTTGGAAGCCTCTCAGAATGCTCTGGCCCACCTAAAATAATTTCTTCTCCTTCCTCTATTCTTTGTTAAATTCCCTACCTATAGTATTAATTTGTGAATTTTTGAGGGACCCATAATATTTTGCTTTGTATAATAGCTGAGTATGTATGAACATTGTAAGTGCTTCTATTCTTCTTTGTATAATACCAATAAGAAATTTGTACTCTATTTTATAGGTTACAAATATTCTTTCTACTTGGTATTTTTGTCTTCTGTTATAGTACTTTTATGGGTTCACTAAAGTTGCATGAGAACAATGGTTAGCTATGTTTCCCTATAGTGTGACCCTTTGCCCATTGATTCTATCTGTTTGAAATATTATATCCAAAAGATACTTTCTAGGACAAAATTTTTTTTAATTTGTTGAACGTTTAACCTCCAAATATCTTATCAGCTTCATAAAGGCCTATGCATATACACACCTATTACACATTTGCATGTATGTACACACACATGCTTTCTTACTTCATTGATATTGCTGGGATATACTTTGGTTGATTGCTTTTTAAATTTCTTTTCTAGGCTAAATGGTTGCCCCAGGAAGCTACATCCACAAATAGTATCAGAAAAAAATCTACAAAAGAGGGCAGGGATTGACTCATGAATATTCTACAAAAGCTAGAGTCTCCAAGAACCATTGGTTTGCTTTTCCTAAGAAAGGGCATTTTGCATGATGACTTTGCAAATTTGAAGAACTCTATAAAATGTTTGCTCTTACCGCACTGGAACCCCTGAGGAAGGAGAGCAGATTTCGACAAACTGGCAGCAGGATCAGCATACAGTTGAAATTCAGGCAGGCTGCAGGAGCCCTGGCCAAAGCCAGAGCTTTCTAGAAGCCGGAAAGAGAGCAGAGTGATTCCCGTGTGCATAGAACGACCCCATCCCTACTTCCTCAGAGTTCTCAGTGTGAGACCATATACCACAAGCTCCAAGAGATCTGTAAAGGAAAGTCTTTCCGAACTGAGGGTTTTCTTTTAGGGCCTGCTTGGACCCTTTGTTTTAATATGAAACTGGCCCTTTATCCCAATCTAACATTATGAAAAGTTGCAAATAGAAGGAAAAACAGAAATAAATTTACTTTGAAGACATGTATATGTATCTCCCATATTGTACCTTTTATATTTTGCTATGCTTGCTTTATCACATACTCGTCTTTCCATTCCTCTATCCATCCCTCCATCCATTAACTCATGTTCTTTTTTATTTTTTTGGTGCATTTAAAAGTTGAAGATATCAGTTCATTTCCTCCTTAGTACTTAAGTATGTATATCATTAATTAGAGTTCAGTATCAGAACTGAAATGTTAAAGATTTCAACATATTTTGTTAGCACATAGATTGACTTAATAACTAAGGTTGATATGGTGTTATGTTTTGATATAATAATTACTAGTTTTGTAATGCTTAAAAAAGGTGTATATTTTGAAATGAGAAAGTATCAGTCTGGATAAATTAACAAAGATTCTAATAATGTAGTTTAGTTATGTTTCATAATTATGTATACACATGATTTATAATATATATGATAATTAATATTGAGTAATTAATTCATAGTAACCACAATGTAATACGTAATATTTTGGGGTCAGGTACAACTGTAATTATTTTCATTTTTCATAGCCAGTTCCAATGAAACAGAGATTACTAAAGGACCTAAGGCAATTCAAGCTGGTCTACTGAATGGATGTGGCACTTGAACAAGTTCCTCAATGTCTCCAAATGTACAAAGAGGAGAGGCTGATTTTAAGAAGTTGATTTCATAACATGTACCAAGAGCAGAGCTCTGTCTGCATTAAAGTGGTAAGGACCAGATGATTTAGGAAATCTAGAAAATCTTACCTGTCCCATACATGTCACCCTGGATGGATTGCTTCAACCTAGCGATCCATTCCAGAGTCAGTATTAGATTTTTTTCTTTAAGCTAAACAATGGCACATGGCTCTGGGAGCAATGTGAATTTAGAAGCAAAGGGATGCTTCTAAGCCTCTTCTATGCCTCTGCCACATTTTTGTTTGTCACCCTGTCAGGCCTTAAAAACTCTTGCCCAGGAAGTTTCGTTTTTTTTTTTTTTTTTTTTGGTTTTTCTCCGGTACCGGGAACCGAACTCACGACCTTGCACTTGCCAGGCAGGTGCTTTGCCGCTGAGCTAAATCCCCAGCCCCTTGCCCAGGAAGTTTCAATGGAGAGAGTTAGACTGATGGTACTCCTCCGGTTGGTCAGCATATTTATTTAAAATGTTAAAAGGAATAAGAATAACGACATCTGCCTAGAAATGAGAGCCAGTCAATTTTGCATGAAAGGGCAGTTACACTTACCCCAAGAAGTTTTCTAGTGTACCAGAACTTTAGTCCATCATCATAATACTTGTAGTAATGGATAAAGAGGAAGACGTTCATCCCCAGCCACATCAGCTGCACAAATAGAAAGAATTGCCTGAAGTTTTCCCATCTCCGTAAGTAGGTTCTACACGAGATTGGAGTTAGCCAAAGATCAGAACTTCCCCAAGTTCAACCTTTGACAAAGGTAGATACAAAGGTGGGTGTGACCAGCTTAAGGCCAGCTCTTTCCTGCCACAGTGTAACTGTAACTTTCCATAATTAACCTTTCTACCTTATGTTGCTTGTCATGATTGCTTTACTGCTTAGCACGTATGCCAAATTATCATTCTAACTTCCCTCCTTCCTTTTTCATCATCTTTTTTCTTCTCCTTAGAAAGACAGATAATACTAGTTGGCCAGAAAAATGAGAAGGGGAGTGAATGTGTTGCTATCTGCCTGCCTACCATATACATACATATATGTATATATATATGTGTGGGTTTTTTTTTTTTTTTCAGGTTTTTTTTTTCCGGTACCGGAAATCAAACTCACGACCTTGCGCTTGCCAGTCAGGCACTGTGCCGCTGAGCTAAATCCCCAGCCCCTGCCTGCCTGCTAGTAAGACACTGTATTCTGCTGTCGCCTACGTTGACCACGCCGTGTCCCAATCCAGCTCTGGGATATCTCGGCAGCTAGGACGCCAAGACTTTCATTCTACTTGATAAGTTTTACTTACATTTTGAAGGATGCAATATTGAGCATTAGCAAGAGGTTGAGGGGCATAGGACTTAGAGACAAAGATTTTTATAGATTGTGACCTCTCGTCTCATTCCAAACACTAACTTTATCAAGTGGTGATACTGCCCAGTCTTCTACCTTTAGTGCAGTAGTGATTTTTTCTTAGCTACTAAATTGCTAGTTATTGTTAATACCAACTATTAAATGTCCACAATGCTTGAGAAAAATCTCAATTTACAAAAGAGAAGGTGCTAAAACAACACGTGCATTTCCTGACCTTGTCGTTTTTTTCCTAATTCTGACTTTCTAAGCTAGGTCTGCAATTTCAATTATACGATATTCTTATTTAAAAAGAGGTAATTTCCTGGGGGAAAAATGTGCTGAGAGCTAAAAGTATAAGTTCAATTGCTTCCTATAAGAATGATCTGTTCTCCAAATGGTTATAAAAAATCAACTATACAGTTTCAAATCAGCAGAGTTCCAAACTGCATTAAAATGTTGGTTTCGACATAAAGTTAATTTCCAATAATAAAATGTTTGTTTTTATTTTATTTGTGCCAGTAATTTCTTTCTATCACAAAGAAAATTTCTATAAGAAAGAAAACTCAAAGATTCCCCATATATTCCACGATAAGCTTTTACAAAAGTTCTATTCATACGTGTGCTTTTTAAACATCATGTTTCCACTGGTTATTTGAAAAAGCTATTTAGAAATCTTTCTATCCACTCTGTCCACAATTGCTTTTCTGAGACCACCATCTTAAGAGCATAGCTATATTATTCATGTTAAGAAGCACAGAAATCAATGTGTACTTGAAAAATACCCATATCTTTACTCGCAAAATTTTTTTGCAAAATAGATGACATATATATAAACCTGGATAAGTAATCTAAATTCTCTTGATTTTTATAAACTTCATAAGTAACTGAAGTTTAGACCTCAGAGAAGGTACTTGTTCTCAAAAAGAAATCTGAGAACTTTACTTTTAGTGTCATTATTGAAATAAAGGCCAATTTCCCACACATGAGTCAGTCCTGTATTTGTTATTTGTCATTTGTATTTGTCATTTGGAAAATGGTATAAAGTTTCAACTGACCATTTTTAAAGTAGTTTACACATGTAAAAAGTAGGGAAAATTTCCTCAGAGTAATTAATAAACAATTCAGAGTTAGGGAGTGTTGGTATAAAATACCTTTTACTCTCTCTGCAAAATGCTGGCTAACTTAGTACTCCCAGGAACATAGAAATAAATTAGGAGAAATGAGCATTCAGATACCATCTTTCCACTAAGGAATGTGGAGGAATGAACCCAGTCAAATATATGTCTGCTCACACAATAAATCAATTTCTCAAAGAAACAAACAAACAAAAAAAACAAGTATATGTCTGCTCACACAGTAAATCAGTTAGTCAAAGAAATAAAAAACCAGCTTGTGATTCTTTTAGCTTCTAGAAAATCCCAAACATGTGAGAGAATTTATATTATCTCTTGTTGGTACTTACAATGACAAAGATGGAGAGCCCCTCATTCACAGCCCAGTTCCCCATGGTGACAGAGCTTCAGTGTGTTGTGTTTGCTCTTCTTCTATATCGAGCTTCTTCTTCCCATGAGGAAATGAAAACAGAAGCCTTGGGGCAATATGTTTCCTTTTCTATTATCAGAAATTGGCTAATCATTGGTCAACTGAGAAGCCTATTTCCACAACAAATTTAAATCTTTAAACCAGAAAAACCATAAGAGAAAAGTTTATAAGGATCCAATCACCACTAAACATATTGCAAAATGAAACCAATTTCTACAACAGAGACAAAGAGTGCAATGCACAGGATGTATTTTACACAGTGAACTATTTTATTAATTAGTTATCTGCTTGCAATTTTCGTGTCACTCAACCAACCATGTCTTAGTATTGGATAAAACACATTAAATGGGTTTTATATGACTTTGTAGGCTTTTATAGTAAAATTTATAGTCTCATTGAAAAAAGTTACAATAGTTATGGTTGATATTTAAAAGATGCTTAATATGTGCCCATTTGGCAAGCTAGATGGGTGTATGTGCATATGTATCTGTGAGTTGAAACATACATAGAAGCATATGTGTGTATATACACAGTAACATGCATGCACATGCATACATTTCAATTCATTTGAGTCTCACAACTTGATCGCTAGAAAGTAGGTTTTTTAAATTATGATTATATTTACAGATGAGGAAACTGAGACCAAGAGCAGTTAAATTCCTTTGGACATAGTCACACAGCCAGGCAATAGTGGAGTTGAGATTTGAGAGCCCAAAAATGTGGCTTTTGATCATGATATCAGGAAAAACAGTCTGACTGTGTGAACCCCCACCCTAAATCACTGTACGTAAAACTACAGGAAATGAAACTCTAACAAAATGCCAAAATGTTCAGATGACAATCACACTGACAGGCAGACATGACATCTTCTATGTTAAGTGTATAGACACGGTCAAAGCTAAATCATGTCACTTATAGCAGATACCAAAACTAGAGGTAGCATTGTTACCTCCTGGCTGCTACCCAGTCTTAAACATAGGAAAGAGACAGAAAGGGAAGAACATAGCTCTACTACAAGATCATAATTAACCAGTTAACAAGGGTAGTTGTACAGTAGTTATAGTTAATAGAGAGATTAAAAGTATATTGGAGTAATGGATGGCAACAAAGATTAAAAGAGAAATAAATTCTCTTGATTGCTACCTACAAACTACTTCGGACAGCCTATGGAATTACAACAAATAGTAAAGCAGTATGGTTTCTCACTTCATAATGTTCAAGAAATACTCAACTCTGACTATGACAATTAGAACATGTGTAACTCACATAAAGTGAAGTTGTTTTTTGGCTTCATTCCACAAAGATACCAATTCAAAGAAACATAGCTGAACAAACAAAACATGTGCAAATATGTGCCTCCTTGCTCTGTTATGTATTTCTCAGGCTTTCTTTGCCCTGTTGTGCTTTAGAAATAATTATATTTGGCAGCCTCTTTGGCCCGCTGATTACTTTGTGTTTAACTAAACTGAAGGATGAAAAGCAAGACACAATCCTGAGTGCTTCTTGCCTTAGATGTCTGTTTCAAGAGGCATCCAAAGAGTGCCCGAATCTCCACTGAGGTTCCACCTTCCAATAGTCAGCCTCTCTCTCTACCATGAGCCCCTGCTGGTTAACACTATTGTAGGCCTTGATCTTGCCAGATGGCCCTGGCTGCTGAACTAGAGTTATACCACCTCCTCCCAGTTCCTCTCTAACTCTGAGGGTGGTAACCACTTCCGGTATTTCATCTTTCTGCACCCATTTTTGGGATTTTCCACTTTTCCATCATCCATGCAACCATTTCCTGACATGAAATTCAATCTGTTGAAATATGGTGGTTTCTGTTTCTCCAACTGGACTTTGACTAAAATAAAAAGTAATGCAGATATGGACATATTTTCTCAGGTAACTAAAGAAATGAGGTACATATGCCTAAAGAGCAATTAAACCCCGTGAAGATCTGTTCCCTCTACCACTGCCAAAATCCTTTCCAAGGAAGATTGCCACTCACTGGGCTCTTTCAAACTCAAAGAGAAGCCTTCTTTTCTGTAATTTTCTCCTTTTTCTTTTTTCCTCCTTAATAGTTCATTTTCCTTTGTCCTATTTAAGCCTTCAAATCTTTTTCAGCTTTTTATCTACCTCTTGAAGATTTTGCTCTACTGGAGAAGCAATCAGAAGGGGACAGTGAATGCTCATGTTAGGAATCATGTTTCATGATCCATATAAAACTATTTGTTTAACATTTTCCTACTCCTTTTCCCACCTCCACAGTTTCAGAAGGAAATTTTTCAAGAAAGAATATTTTGCTTAGGTAATTAACCATTTCCTGCTATTGCTTTTTTTCTTCTTTATTAAAACAATCATACGGATGTGAGTAGAGGTCCTTTGAGAACCTTAGGAACCTCAATCAGTTTCACAACTGGAGGAAGAGAGACCAGATGCAATAGAGTAAAATCTTTCTTATATGGGAAGTAACTTCCCTTTTGAAAACACTTTAAAAATGTAATATAATAATAGTTAAGATTTGTGTCTGATTAACAAGTAGTCTGAAGATGCATCCATTTTCCTCCATGTGATTTGTTTATCTTTCTTTATGTTAGAGTAGTACTCCATGGTGGGTAAATAGCCCTTTTTCTTCATTGATTCATCTGTTGATGGACTAATGAGATGATTCTAAGATGTAGGTATTATGAATTGTGTTGCTTCAAACATGTGAATACTGTATCTCTGTAATATGATGTCCTTAACATTTTGGGGAAGATACCTAGAAGAGGAACAGCTGGATCAAATTGAATTTCTAGTTTTAGTTTTTTGATAAATCTCTATACTGATTTCCATAGTGGGTGAGTTAGTTTACATTCCCACCAAGAGTGGAGGGTTTCCCACAGCCTTACCAGCATAAATCAATAACACACACACTTAAATATTGCATTTTTCTCTTATTTGAGAAATCCAACATAAAAATAAATAGCAAAAGAAAAGATAGGTAATAAGAAGTAGGAAGATAAATTATCCTCAAAGGGGAAAGGGATCAAGAGATGGAGAGGGAGTGGAAGGGAGGTAACAGATAAGGGATTAAAAAAGAATTGAGATGTGTTAGGTACCTGTACCAATTTCACACAAAGAATGTGAATATTATTTACTGCAAACATGTACAAAAAGAAAATAAGGGGATCAAGGGATAGATCTCCACCTATCCCTTGTAAGGAAGGGAAAGGTAAAGGGATGCAAAAATGAATTAAGATGTGTTATGTACCAGTACCAACTCCACACAGGGAGTGTCAGCATTATGTAAGTACTCACAGGTAATAAACTAAAATAAAAAATGTGGAAGAGTAAGGTGTTAAGAAAAAAGTGTACTGTGTACTTCTCTTTAAAGAGAGACAGAAAAGTTGATAAAGGAGCAAAAGTATTGGTTGACTGACATCGACCAGACAAGAAGGATGAACAAACTTAAAACTATGCATTCCCTAATGGCTTATCTCCTCTCAGGCCATTAGGCTTTTATTGCCTCCTAAATGGTTTATGTCAGTCTAGACTGTTGTGAACATAAGCAGATACTCACCTGCCTCAGCAGGCTGTAGCGGCTAGCTGCTTCAGGCTCATAATTACATCCTAGTTACCTCCGACTGAGCAAAAGGACAGAGAGAAGATGCAGACCTAAGTTTTCAGGAAATTCACTGATTGCATCCTGAAAATGATTCCTTCCTGATAGCTCAAATTTAAAATTAGGTTCCTAATTATTCCAAGAAGAAATATTGCTAAAGAAAAAGAGATATGTTACTACATGAAGTTTCTCAGTGAGTTTTGTCCTTGATGTTGATGTAAACTAGAGTTTTGTCTTTTTTAAACTCTTCTGTGCATTCTGCATATTTCCAGAACCCGTGCTTAGCTTTATCTGATTCTATGGGTGATGTGGACACACATTCCCTGCCTAAGGATGACTACTGAGAAGTCTTTATCTGCTGGAGAGTAATGCAAGTGATCATCCCAGGTGTGGACACGTGACTCAGAGAAGATCAATTCACTTTTTTTCATGGGAATCGGGGAGCTATTAGGGACTAGGAAGAAGAAATTTTCAGGCTTTTCTATCTTCACCAGTAACGCAGCTTGGTGCTGCCCTAGGCCATCTCTACTACATTATTCTAAAATTCTGCATGAAAATTCTGTCAGCATAAACATAATCAACATCAGAATTAATACCTGAGTAAGGATGGGGTTATTTGGAGACAAACATGATAGCAATGTTTGAATTCTTGAGTTCCATCTGCCTGAGACATTTGGAGATTTGTTATTCTTGCAGACTGAGGTTCCTGAGTAGACTCTGACATGGAGATTAGCACGCACTAGTTTTATTATAAGGAAGTGTTCTTTACCTGCAGAAGGGAAGTAAAGACAAAAGAAAGGTGGACCAACAGAGAAGTTGAATGATACAGTTACAATAAGGCCTCAGCCATTCTGTGGGTAATTGTGAGGCAGAATGACCCAGAGTAACCTTGGGAATGTTTAGCTTTACTAAAACAATTTCTATATGTGTTAACAGTAGTTTAGCAAGCATTTCAATTTTGAAGTTAGACCTACGACTTACTGCATTATAATATTTTAATACAGTGATATAAGACAAAAAGCATTTGTATACTTTAATTCATTGGAATGAGGAAGAAAATTGCAAAATACCTCTATTTGAATTTAAAACTTTTCAGTTTACCTTTTGCGGTAAATTGGCTTACTTCCTTTTTTTGCAAACTATCAATTTTTTATAGTCTTAACTTGATCTTGCTAAGAACAGTTAACATTTATAAGACATTTTATACATGCCTGATATGCTTTTATTACTAATTTATCACACCCACCTTATAAAGTTTGTAAAATGACCATATCCTTTTGTAATTGGATGAAAACTACTACCAATGTATCTAGGTACTCCTTCACAGAACTTGTAAAAGTGTTACCTTGCATGAGTATGGGAGCATTGTAGAGCTGAATAAGCTAAGAAACTGGACATGAGGGAACTATCATGGGCTAATGTGGGCTCAGTATAATCCTAGTATTTTTGTTAGAGGGAGAGAGGACCAAAGCCGGAGAAAGGAAATGTGAGGGTGGAATAGGAGGCCAAAAAGGAGAGAAGATGTTATGCTGCTGATTTCAAAATGGAGAAAAGGGTAGTGAGCCAAGGAATGCAGTTCTAGAACCTGTAAAGGGCAAGGCAAGGAATTCTCTAGAACCTCCAAAAACAATGCAGATCTTTGGACACTTTGATTTTGATCCAGTGAAGCTGAGTCAATATCTCTCACTTCTAAAATTGAAAGAAAATCAATTTGTGCTTGTTTAAGTCAATCAGTTTGCAGTGACTTGTTATAGCAACAATAGAAAGCTCAAATATAATTTTGTAGATGAGAGATAAAATACAAGGAAAGAAAGTAACTTCCCTAGGCTTGCATGACTATTTGACACCAAACCTGGGATTTGAGTCTGGACTGCCTGATAAATCTCTGCTGATTTGAGTCACCAGGACCATTCTATAAAGCTAGGGCTCCATTGTAAATAATAAAATCATTCCATAAGCCTCTGTTGCTGTTCCAAATCCCCTAACTTGAACTCTGTCGTACTCTTCTCAGATTGCAATGTGCAACACAGCTCTTCCTCACAGGACTGATCAGAATTGCCTTAGTTTCCAGTCTCCTGACAGCCTAACTATTGCTGGCAAGTTCCTGAAGTTACTACATACATGCAGTTCTTTCTCAGTCTAAGAAGCTTGAAGATGTGTCCTGAACAGGAGGTATTAGGTTCCTATAACCAGTTTTCTCATTTTAAAAATGGAGTTGAAAGTGAAAATCTCTGACTCTTTGCCTCAAACATCATTTTCCTTTCCCCAAGATGCATCTGAATGCTCATAGTCTCTCCTCGGACAGTTGGCAAATGCTCCTCTTTGTGAAGATGTTAGAGAGTAATTTAAGTGCTAGCAAGGCGAGAGCTTCATGTGTTAGCTTTCTCAGGAGTGCTGCAACTGCAACAGGATTTCCTCCAAGAAAACAGGCCCATGTATTTCATATTCCCTGAGGTCTAGCTCCCTTGATACTTTCAGAGAACTATATCTGACTTAACAAAATTAATATAGTCTGACTGCTTGCCAGTGAGAAATTGAAGATGCATGTTCACATGCACCAATCTGCTATCATATGCAACTGTTATGGCTTATGTTTAGATGCACCTATAAAACTACATGTGGTCATGTGTCAAGCTAGACATTTATATAATTCAGAGACCACACTCATTTTCTTTGCTGAACTTCTCAGGGCTGGAAAAGTTAATAATGTTGCACATGAGCAAATGATTTTGGTGGAAATGAAAATGCATTTTTAAAAAATTAATGACTATTGGTGACATTTAAATTTTTATGCTTTTGAAGTTTAAATATCGATATTTACACATATATAATTGGTCAAACATCAGCCTTGATAGTGTGGTTTAGGTCTCAAAGTACTAATTTGACTTTACAAAAGAAACACGCCCATCAAAACTGGCCAACTATACATAGAATTGTGGCACACATGTTACTTTAAGTCATAACACTCTCATAAAATACCTAGCAATATGGCTGAATGATGAGTAATAATTGGATGCTAGATGAATAAACTAAATTCTTATCATTGATTTAAAAAAATTAAAAAATCAAAGATAAACTGTCAGCAATGCAAATCCAGAGTGAAAATGAGGTACTCTCTGATTGTCTCCATTGTACATTTTCCTAGAATAATTTATTCTGTTAAATAACAACATGGTAGGCATTGTTTCTTACTCCAAATATTTTCTTATCTCCCTTCTCTCCTGCTGCCTCACAATACATAGGATTAAAAAATAAATACTATCTTTCCCAACCCCCTCCAAGCTTCCTTGTAACTAGTCTTAAAAAAAAAAATGAAACCTTCCAAGTGAGCATGGAAGAAGAGCCTTGTTGCCTTGTTGTGAGAGGTTTTTATTTAAAACGTAAAGTAAAACATGATGTCAGCAAATATGGAGATATAATAGACTGCACTGTATCCCTTTTCTTTCATATATTGAAGCTCCAATCCTTAATGTGACTATATTTAGAAGTAGAGTGTAAAGGAGGCAATGGAGGTCAAATGAGGTCAGGAGGGTTGGGTCCTAATCCAATAGAACTATTGTCCTTGTTAGAAGAGGAAGAGGACTGGGAGTGTAGCTAATCGGTCATGTTACCAGCTTCTGGGGTTCTAGGGTCTCTTTCTAGAGGTGGTTTCTACTTTTTTTCTGTCCTGAACAAGAATTGCTTAAGGCAAGCACAAATGGTAATAAACATGATCTGCAGAGTGAATTTGAGCCACGTAAAAGTAGGAAAAGAAGTACACCCTACAGTGAGAGGGTGCACTACAGAGAAAAAACACAGCAGCAAAGAAGCTCAATAGTGACTGTTCTTTTTGTATCACCACTCCTCAGGCTGCTGTCAGGTCTAGGCCATCCTATTGAAAAATCCTGCTCTTGAGTTCATGGGAAAAGTCCAAGTACAAGATTTGTGAACTGTTCTGTGCATATGTCCTGAGATTTTGTAACTAGCAGGTCATACCTACTTGATATGCAGTCTGCCATGTTTTCACCATTCTTTATCTCTTGCCTCAGTGAAGTGTTTACCTAGCATATAAGGCCCTGGGGTCTATCTCTAGCACCACACACACACACACACAAACACACATACACACCCACACCAAAAAGAAGAAATAGAAGAAGATGAAGAAGAAGGGGAGGAAGGAGGAGAAGGAAGAGGAAAAGGAGAAGGAGAAGGACAAGAAGGAGAAGGAGAAGGAGGAGGGGAGGAAGAGAAGGAGGAGAAGGAGAGGAAGAGGAAAGAAGAAGAAGAAGAAGAAGAAGTAGAAGAAGAAGAAGAAGAAGAAGAAGAAGAAGAAGAAGAAGAAGAAGAAGAAGAAGAAGGAGAAGGAGAAGGAGAAGGAGAAGGAGA